GTCGTGTGCCTCCTGTAATAGTAATTCCCGTAGTAGTGTGTACCCTGGTACCCAGATGCGGTCGGTCCCGGCTTTTACGTAATAGACTCCCTTGGCTGCTGCGAACTGCTGCGAATTTCCTCCTGTGAAGAATGGGTCTGTTTGATATCCGTGGGTAAATAGTCCTGTCAGTAGCGGGCTGGTCTGGGCGAGTAGTATCGCGTGGATTTGGGCAGTGGGGCGGGTCAGTGCGTCGGCGATGTTCGAGGCTCCTTTTTTATAGGTGACTGTGTAGTGGAAGTTTGACTCGAGGAAATCGAGCCAACGAATCTGTCGTGGGTTGAGGTGGGGCTGTGCGCGGAGGTACTGTAGTGATCGGTGGTCTGTCCGTACTGTCACGTCTGCGCCGGTCAGGTAGCAGCGCCACACTTTGAACGCATGCACGATCGCGAGCATTTCGCGGTCGTGTATCGGGTAATTTCGCTCGGGCGGATGCATTTTTCGTGACTCGTATGCGATGGGCTGTAGGCCGTTGCCGAAGTCCTGTAGCAGTACGGCTCCAATGGCGATGTCGCTTGCGTCTGTAACAACCTCGAAAGGGCGGTGTGGGTCGGCGATGCGCAGGACGGGCGGTGAACAGAGAACAGTTTCCAGGGCAGAGAAGGCAGCATGCTCTTTCTCCCCCCACGTAAAAGCGACCCCCTTTCGCAGTAAATCAGTCAGCGGGGCAGTCAACTGTGCCATGTCGGGGACGAACCGACGCACATAATTAACGAACCCTAAAAAACTCTGCAGCTCCGTGATGTTGGTCGGGGGCCGCCACGCTTTTACCGTATCCAGCTTCTTTGGGTCGATTTCAACGCCAGCCTCCGAAATAACGTGCCCCAAAAATTCTAACCTATCCTGGAAGAACTCGCACTTGGAACCTTTGGTCAGTAGGCGATGCTCGTCTAAAACTTTAAAAACTGCTTCCAGATCCGCTAAGTGCTGCTGCTTGTCCTGACTGTAAACGAGGATGTCATCGAGGTAAACTATGACGCATTTATCTAAGAGCGGCCTAAATGCCTCGTTCATGGTCATCTGAAAAGTCGCCGGTGCGTTGGTCAGCCCGAAGGGCATCACTGTGTACTCGAACGACCCGTATCTAGTCCTAAATGCTGTCTTGGCGCAGTCCGATGGTTCGACTCGAATTTGATGGTAACCCCCCCGTAAGTCTATTTTCGAAAACACCCGTGCTGTTCGCAATTGGTCGATCAGTTCGTCAGCGCGGGGAATGGGGTATCGCGATTTGATGGTTACCCTGTTCAGTGCTCTGTAGTCGATACACATGCGAAAACCCCCGTCTTTCTTCGGCGTGAACAGTATCGGTGCGGCGAATGGTGACGAGCTTGGTCGGATGAATTTTTTCTCTAACAGGTAATCTAACTGCTTCCTTAGCTCGTCGAGCTCGGGCTGTGTCAGTCTGAACTGGCGCTGTACGGTTGGCTGTGCCCCTGGTTCTAATTCGATTCGGTGATCATGTGCTCGCTGAGGTGGCAACCCTTCCGGTAAGTCGTCGGGGAAAATCCCGGGGTACCGTTTCAACAGTTCCTGTAATTCGGGCGGTACAGCTTCCAGCAGTTTCTTGAAATCGCTCGGCTGCTCTGCTTCCTCCACTACTGCGATATCTACTGCGTACACGTCAGCTCCAGCAGCGACAGCCCGTTTCATTGTGATGGCGTTGACGTGCACCGTTGAAGACTCGGGCGACTGCCAGCGAGGTAGTTGGACCCAGTTACCACTACTTCGCACGGTGCAGCTACTCGTCGTCCAGTCAATTCGCGGGTTATACCGTCGCAACCAATCGCGCCCCAGTAAAATGTCGTGCCCATCCAGTGTTGTTGCGAGCATTTCCTGTGTAAACCCAAAATTCCCCCCGCAGCGGACTTTGACTCTCTCTACCTTTTCCCATATGGCCAGCGGCGTGCCGTCAACTAAGCGTGCGTCTATCTCCGGTAAGCAACGGCTAAGTGTCAGTTGCAGTTTTCGTGCGGTTGCGGTATTAACTAAACTGTGGCTTGCTCCTCCGTCAATAAAAATCTTCACTGCTGCTCCCTGTATTTTCCCGTGGATCAGTACTGGGCAATCCGTCGCTGTACCCTCCTTATTCATCCGAGCCCGATCGATGGCGTGAATCGGTACTGTGACTCGGTGAGGGTCGGTGTGGTTGGGCGAGCAGGCAATCTCGTCAGTAGTTGGCCCAGCTTCTACTGACTGCTGGCGTTTCCATGCCTCTGAGACTCCCTCCCCTGCTCTGCTCCGCGGCGCCTTAGCTCCTCTGGGCATTCGCTCTTGCGATGGCCCGGCCTGTTGCAAGCAAAGCAGCGCCCCTTAAATGGCGTGGCAGCTGCATTTGTCGCAACGGCGTTCACAGTGGCGTGCTCGATCGGTCCCCGAGGACGATGTCCGTGGTAGAACCCCGGTCTCGGTCGACGTAGGATGTCGATTTTCTCGGCGAGCGCGAGAATCTCGTTGAAATTCGAGAGCCCGCGTAGCATGATTTCGTGCGAAATGTCTGGTTTTAGCCCTCCGACGTAACGGTCCACCCGCTCCGCTTCGTGCATATAGCCGACTTGCTCGCAAAGTGCGAGAAAACCGCTCGTGTAATCTTGAACCGATCCGAGCTGCCGCCAAGTGCGCAATCTCTGACGCGCCGAAATAGAAGCCGCGATCGGCTCGAAGCGCGCCCGAAGCCCTGCGCACCACGCATCCCACGTGCTGTATTGGGCGGTTTCGCAGAATGAACTCCAGGTAACAGCTGGACCCGTGGGCCCTTCCTCTTGCGACGGTGGCTCGTAGGCGCGTGGCGACGTTACGATGACTCGCCACCAGTCCATGGCGGGGCCCCTTAGCAGCGAAACGGCATACCGAATCTTCGCTGCGTCCGACTCGACGTAATTCGCGTCGAAAAAAACGTTCATCGTGAAGACCCACGATTGAACCGTCGGACCTCCACGTTGGCTTGGGTCGAAACAGGGCGGGCGTTGCGGCTTGAGTGGCATTGGTGTCATGAAGGCCTGTTCGCCACTTGTCGCTGCGAATTCCACGTGCCGACGGTCTTCGCGAGGCTCCCGCGGGCTTGGCGCGCCCCTGTTTCCTCCCATGCCAGGCATTGGTTGGGCGGCGCTATCACTGGTTGCGCCCGAGCGCTGTCCCATGCTGTCGTGTTGTGTTGGTGTACCGGACGAGATGACGATCGGCTCGTCCGATTGCGCAGGTGCATTTGTTGGTGCGTATGGTGCTGCTGGAGTGTTCACCGTGGATTGCTGACGCGCGGAGTCACGTTCCGCTGTGAGCGTCGCAATTTCGAGCGCCAAATCTTCGAGTTGGCGCACCAGACGGTCGAGCTGCTCCTGCGTCAATGTGGCGAGCGTGAATTCGGCCATGGCGGGGGTGTCGGGCGAGCTCAGCGAGAGCCTCAGTCGTGGCCGTGCGTGCTTACGAGAGAGCACTACGAGCGGCGGTGCTGTATCGCTGAGAGACGTCTACCCCCCCCAAAAAATTGAGATAGTGGGGAAGCGAAGGTGTGGGTGCGGTCCGAGAAGAGATCGTAGGCTCTGAATACCAAGTGTTACGAGTGCAATTGAGTGATCGAACGAGAATTGCACTATCGAAGCAAGAGTACAATGAGCGAAGGCATGGGCGAAGAATATATAGCGAAACTACAGTGGTAACGGTAATGGACTGTGGTTGTCGCGCGACGGGCCTGGAACTGAGGTTGGGGAAAGTGTCGAAGCGGAGGCCCGGAGCGCGGGTTACCCGCCGAGCCGTGAGGTCAGGGTGTGACGTGCGAAAGTGGCGGGCGGATTGTCGATGCGAGGATTGCGAGTGGTAACGGTGCTGACTGTGGTGCTACAGTGATGTACGCGTTGAGCAGGGATGCGAAGTAAGGAAAAAGAGATTTTCCTTACAGAGGCAAACAATGCGTTCGATTTGTTGCACTGTGGTGTACATTCGAATGAGGAAATAGCGGCTATGTCAAGGGTACAAAGTCATATACAAGTTCGTAATGGTAAATATAGCTACATATAGAGTTGAATAAAACGGAATTCAACCTTAGTGGAGATTGCGGAATGCAAATCACAAGACAGAAATGTACAACGAGAAGATACTATGGATTGTGCGAGAACGCTTAAGGCAGAAGTAGCTTCGTCTTCATCAACTCATTACATCAACCCCCTGCTGCACTGCAGGTGCTGGCAAGTTAAACGAAACCCAGAAGCCACTTTATTCTAAAATTTTCTTGCGGTGCAGCCATCTGGCACTGTTCAACAGGGCAAGTTGAGCTCAGTGGAGGCCTTTCAAGAGGTCTCAGAAGTCGTTCCTGGCACTAAATAATCACCTCTCACAGTGCAGCGTCTCCCAGTGCTAGAGAATGAAGTCGAGTTGAGAGTGGAGGAGAAAAGGGGCCCCGGCTCAAGGCTCTGGAGCCATTTCTGAGCGGGGAACAGGGGTTGAAATAGGGATTGGGAATGGGAGAAGTGAAAGGTTGAGGTGAAATGGGAATGGAAAGGGTTCTGTAAGGGAGAATTGAAAGGGGGAGTTGAAAGGGGGAGTGAAAGGGGAGTTGAAAGGGGAGTAGAAAGGGGGTGTTGAAAGGGGGTTCTGAATGGGAGAATTGAAAGGGGGGGATTTGAAAGGGAGAATTGATAGGGGGGGTTGAAAGGGGGTTTCTTTTAAGGGAGAATTGACAGGTGGGGTTGAAAGGGGGTTCTAAAAGGGAAAATTCAAAGGGAGAATTCAAAGGGGGAATTGAAAGAAAGTTGAGAGTAACCACTAGCGCCCTATCTTCACAAAACATCTAACCACTAGCCCCATACCTCCACACGCCACGAATCGCCACATTGCAGAGGTGGAGCGCTGCCACAGCTCACAAACCACTAGAACCATCCCAACCCTCAAACCCCAACACTAGCGCCGCTCCTTCCCCAAAGCGCCAGCAATAGCAACGCTTTACCCGGCTGCCAGCACCAGCAGCATACCTCCGCACGCCACGGATCGCCAGATGGCCGAGGCAGACCGCTGCCACACCTCCATCAGCTCCTCCTCCGTCTGATGGGGGCAGGGGCAGCACCGCACAGCAGAGAGCAACACAACGCAAAACAGGACACCATGGAGCAGCACATAGCAGCACAGGTAACACAGCAATACAATTTGATTCGATGACGTTTCAAAACAAAGAATAAATTCACAGTGAAAGAATTTTGCAGGCGCCTTGGAAAATGAATATACGATGCACACAAAATATCAAAATCCAATCCCCTCCTCTCACCTCGCACTGCTTCTGCAGCTGCTCCCGCTTCGCCAAACCAAAGGCCCTGCACCATAGCCGAAGCGAATCTGCCTGCTTCTGCCTCCCTTTTCGTTTACCCTCCACACCCCTACCCCATCCCCACCCCACCTACCCTACACCACACCCCATCCCACCCCACCTACCCCACACCACACCCCATCCCACCCCACCTACCCCACACCATACCCCATCCCACCCCATTGCACCCCTGCTCACCTCGCACTGCTCCTGCAGCTGCTCCCGCTTGGGCATGGCCCAGCTCCACAGCCGCAGCGCCACCTTCACAGCCCTGCTCTGCTGCTGGGGGGTGGGCTCACCGCCTGTACAACAAGGGTGGGGAGAGTGGGTGGGAGAAGAACGGGGGTTTTGCTGGGTGAGAGAAGAAGTGAGTGAGGGGAAGGGTGACACCACCCGTGTAGCAATGCCACCTGCACCGCCCTGCTCTGCTGCTGGAGTGTTGGTTCCCCAAACAAACAAGAAACGGAAAGAACGAATGAAACTCACACTCTTCTATCAGTGACAGCAGCTTGGCGACGAACCCCGCCACCCCTCCGCCGCCCTGCACCGGCCACCAGTTGCCGGTCGGCAGCGCCATCCGGGCGGCAACAGCGAGCGAGACGTCGATCCATTCGTCATCTTCTGGATCGAGGATGTCGAGAAGCGACTGGGCGGCGTCGTCTCCGGGCGGAAGGTCCTGTAGCAGGCCGGCCAGGCCCCAGTCAAAGACAGACGAAACGGTGGCGCTGCTGCATGTACCGTCCTCCTCCAGTTCCTGAGGTGTCGGCGAGAGGGGAGTAAGAAGGGAGGGTCGGGGGGAGAGGGGGGGTTGGGGGTAAGTGGTTTGAGTTGACTCATAGCCAGGCCCCAGTCAAAGACAGATGAGACAGTGGCGCTGCTGCACGTGCCGTCCTCCTCCAGCTCCTGAGGTGTACAGGGAGGTGCAGATGGGTGAGGGAAGAGGGGAGGGGGGGTAAGCGAAGCGTGAGGGAAGGTGGGCCTCGTTCGATGGAAGGAAAAAAGGCGGAGTTGCTCATGTGAAAAGTTGAATGCATTCACCCAGCCCGACCGCTTGGCCCAGCCCTTCCATCCCCCATACAAGCGGTCTCACTCACATCGTAGTTGAACCAGATGGAGAGGCTCTGCATGGCGTGCAGCAGGCGCGGCAGGTCGTACTGGCACATATCTATCCCCTTTACAAGCATCCATCTATCCCCGTTATAAGCAGACTCACGTCATAGTTGAACCAGATTGAGAGGCTCTGCATGGCGTGGAGCAGGCGGGGCAGGTCGTACTGGCGCTCCACGAGGCGGCCCACGCGCACCCACATGGGCCACCCCACCTGCACGCCCGGGTCGTCCATTCCCTCGATTTTCGAGACCGCTCGCTCCTCCATCTCCTGCACCTCGCCCTCGCCCAGCCACTTGGTGAGTAGCACCTGAGTGGGCACAGGAACAGGGCGAGAAATGAAAGGGAGCAGGAGAGAGTGAGAAGCATGCCCGTAGCAGCAGCAGCAGGCGCGGCAGGTCGTACTGGCGCTCCACGAGGCGCCCCACGCGTACCCACATGGGCCACCCCACCTGCACGCCCGGGTCGTCCATTCCCTCAATCTTGTGAACTGCCCTCTCCTCCATTTCCCCCACCTCGCCCTCGCCCAGCCACTTGGTGAGTAGCACCTGCGGTAGTGGTGCACACAGGCAAGGGAACGGGAGTGGTGAGAGTAAGTCATCTTCACCCCACCTGCACCCCCGGGTCATCCATGCCCTCGATCTTGTGAACTGCCCTCTCCTCCATCTCCCCCACCTCGCCCTCGCACAACCACTTGGTGAGTAGCACCTGCAGACCAGGCACGCACAAGTAGGGGAACAGGACAACGGGCGAGAACAGGGAGAGACATGGGAGCAGGTGAGAGAGTGAAAGGCATGTCCGTGCCACACCACCACCACTATCACCACCACCGTGAGCACAACCAGCAGGTGGGGCTGGGCAGGTCGTACTGTCGCTCGGCCAGGCGGCCCACGCGCACCCACATGGGCCACCACCCCACCTGCACTGCACGCCTGGATCGTCCATTCCCTCGATCTTAGAGACTGCCCGCTCCTCCATCTCCCACACCACACCACACCACACCACACCACACCACACCACACCACACCACACCACACCACACCACACCACAACCCACCCACTTGCCCACGCACCTGCGCGCAGAGGTTGAGCTCTCTTTCCTCCATGGGCGCGCCTCGGCTGTTGATCCTGAGGAAGTTGAGCAGCAGCTCGTACGCCCACGCGTGCTGCCTTCCCTTCCCAACCACTCACCACTGGTTCTCGCCCCACCCACCCACCTACCCACCCACAACGCACCTGAGCGCAGAGATTCAGCTCCCGCTCCTCCATGGGAGCCCCGCGGCTGTTGATGCGCAGGAAGTTGAGCAACAGCTCGTACGCCCATGCGTGCTGCCGCCGCATCACCTCGCTGCGCAACATCGCATCCACAAACTCAGCCACGTAGGAGTTCTGCTGGGAGGTGCGCGGAGTCAGGAACACCGAACTCGACGGCTTGCTGCCCGTACCCATGCCACTGCCCAGGCTTGTGCCCATGCCCATGCCAGTGCCAGTCTTACCCACTCCGCCTCCCATCCCCCCTCCTAGACCCCCGCCTGGGCCCATCCCAGCAGCTCCCCCCCAATTCCCTGCTGCACCAGCACCAGCACCACCAGCACCGCCACCACCTCTCGGGCTTCCGTGGGGGGTGCTGGAGAAGAAACTTCCAGCCCAGCCCCTCGCCCCTCCTCCTCCCCCTGCAGCAGCAGCAGCGGCAGAAGGGGAAGAAAGAGTGCCACTGCTGCTGGTGCCGCTCCCTCCGCCCAGCCACAGCGTAGGAATGTCACTCTTGCCCCGGGTGTGCCCTGGTCTGGACCTACCCGCACCAGATAACGCCTCCCCGTCCTCCCACCCCTCCTCTGCTGCTGCCCCTTCGCTGAGCCATGCTCCCACCTCGCCTTCGCTACCTCCCCGCCTCCTCCCCTCCCTTGCTACCAGTTCGACACCACTACCACCAGCGCTGGGACCAGCGGCATCAGCATTGTTGCCGGCACCTGAAGAACCACCTGAGGCACCACCTGAAGAACCACCTGAGGCACCGCTTAAGCTAGCACTAACCCCAGGAGCGCTTGCTCTGCCAGCCGCCCACAACCCACCCACCGACCCTGTCGCCGAGCCTTTCCCCGAGCCTGCTGCTGCAGCTGCAGCTCCGGAACTAGCCTGGGAGGCAAGCGCAGAGCCCCAACTAGAGGCAACTGCAAAGGCAGCAGCAGCCCAACCAGGAGCAGCCGCGGAGAGAGACGGGGAGGGGGAGGCTGAGGGAACTGTTGAACCAGAGAGAGCAGGAGAGGAAGTGGAAGAGGGGGAGAGAGGATCAGAGGCGGCAGCTTTGGCTGCTGCTGCTGCTGCTCTAGGGGAGGTAATATCTGGATCTGCCTTGACGGCAGCGTCTGCTCCTGTCCCCCCACCTCTACTACTGCTTGCTCCTGCGCTCCTCCCCCCTTGCGCTGCTCCCCCAGCACTCCTCCCTCCTGTATTAGGAGAGGAGAGGGGAGAGAGATGGGCCCCCTCTCCCGCCCCAGGCCCCCCAGACCCCCAGAACTGGGCCGTTTTCACCGCAGCAGCCAGCCTAGCAAACCGCATTGTAACCGACTCAACCCCTCTACCTGTAAACACCATTCCAATCACCCGATCGAACCCAGCAGCCTTGAGCCTCCCACTGGAAACGGCCCTCAGTGCAGCATGAAACGCCGCCTCGTCTAACCCTAATTCCTGGGCTAGACTCGCAATTGCCATGCTGTCGTCCGGGTGTATATGCTCAAGTTCCCTCATCGTCGCCGCCAGGGTCATCCCCAGCAGGCCCGGGCCGAGGCTGAGCTGTAGGTACAGCCGATCCTGCTCCTCACACCGTTCCTCCAGGCTCGAGTGGGTGGCAGCTGCAAGCCCTTCTGCTAGTGCTACCTCTGCCATAGCTGCTAGGGACATGGGTTCCCAGACCTGAGGTCTACGCGGGGTGTGGGTGGAGGAGAGTGGGGAGTGAGAGAGTGGGGAGTGGGAGAGTGGGGAGCGGGAGCGGGAGCGGGAGGGAGGGCGGTTGGGATGAGCTGGAGAGCGGTTGGGAGGGGTTGGGATTGGTGAAGTTCCTCCCATGTGGGCGAGAGGAGCGGAAGCAGCAGCACCAGACGCAGCAACTTCAGAAGTAGCCACACCGGAAGCAACACTCGGCATGGTCCACCCCCTTCTCTGCTGCTCCTTACTCACACCTCCCCCACCCCTCCTCCCCCCCTGCCTCTCCATCCCTTCCTCCTCCCCCCCACCTTCCCTCTCCTCCTCACCCTCCTCCACCTCCTCGCCTTCCTCGCCCTCCTCCAGCCTCCCCTCCCCCTCCCCTCCTTGCCAAATCATCAGCCGCTGCACAGCAGGGGTGGAGGCCGCTACAGCCGCAGCGGATCGCTCGCTACAGGCGGTCAGGACGGCAGACAGGCACGACACTACAAACGCCCGGCAGGCCGGCAGATGTGCGCCTAGTAAGGGAGCCCATGACCTGTTGGACTTGTTGCCCCCACTCATGCTGCTGCTGCTCCTGCTAGTGGTGCTGGTGCTGGTAGTGCCGTTGCTGCTGCTGCTGATTGCACTCACAGCTTCGGAACTCTCCGAGCCTCTGCCGGAGGTGGCGCCGCCGAAGCTCGAGCTGGGGGGTCGGTGCGAGGGGTGCAGAGCGGTGGATTTGTGAGAAAGAGGTTCGTCTGCGTCTGGGTTGAACTGAAGAAGCATCAGCTGCTGCTGCTGCATTAACTGCATGCTGGGTGTGCGGTTGTGACCGATAGGTGCAAAGGACCGTGACACAGGCACAGCAGCACGAGGCGAACCCCTCACAGACCCTGCTCCTGACGCCCCTGCACCTGCACTGCCACGCCTAGCCGATCCTAGCCTCTGATAACCACCGGCAGCACCAGCAGCAGCGGCACCAGCACCGGCTGCACCAGACGCACCAGCAGCAGCGGCTGCTGTGGCTGATGCTGCTACAGCTGCCGCTACAGCCTGCTCTCGCTCCAGCTGTAGCTCGAAGAAGGCGATGCGGTCGAGCAGGCGGAGGAGAATGAGGGCGGCTGTAGCGGGGCGCCACACACTCAGCGCTGCAGCGAGGCCGACAAAAACGAGTATGTTGTCGTGGTGGCAGCGCGAGGCAAGGAACAGGTCCGTGTACCCCCGCTCTGCTGCTGCTGGCGGTGCTGTTTGGGTTGCTGCTCCTGCTACTGATGCGCCAGCAGATTCTTGGGCGAAATCGACGCTACCCCCATCAGCACCATCAGCAACAGCACCGGCAGCACCATCATCACCAGCACCGGAAGCAGCAGCAGCGGAAGCAGCAGCAGGGAGAGCAGGGACAGCAGCACGCAGGTCGCAGCAGAGAGCCATGCTAACCAGCTGCTCCTGAATGCTGCCCTCTGGATCCCACACAAACACACGCACCGCCGCTGCTGCAGGTGCTGCCAGCACAGGCCGCCCCTCTGCCCCTCTCCCCGCCCCCTCCTCCCCGCCTCTGCCTCTGCCTCTGCCCGCTCCTCGCCCCCTCCCATCGCCTGCATAGGCCATGCGGCCGCTGCCCCCTTCCACTGCTGCTGTTGTCAGCGACTTCCCATACGCCCCCACCTGCTCCTCCTCCTCCTCGTCCCCCTCACGCTCTCCTGCCCCTCTACCCCCGATACCACTGCCATAGGCACCGGCAGCAGCAGCAGCAGCACCAGCTTCCATGCTGAGCCACCGTTGGGGGCGGGAAACAGGCCCAGCCAACCCACCACCACTCTTTCCCCCTTTCCCCTTCCCTTCCTCCGTCCCACTTAACACTACGCCGCTCCCCACCTCATCCGCCCCACCCGTCTCCTCCCATCTCCCAGACCCCGGCCCCACCCCTGCCAGCAAACCAGCAGCTTCAGCCAGATCGTCTTGAATGCGTGCGAATCCCAACCCTGCTAGGTCTGCTAGCTCAGGGGCAGTGGTGGAGGAGATGGTAGAGGAGAGGCGAAGCAGCCCTCCCCCCTCCCTCATGCTTCCCCCCTCGCGAAGGCTGCTCCCTCTGCTGTTCACTCGTGCCGTTGTGAGGCCGCCGCGGCTGCTGGTTCGGCTGAAGGTTCGGCTGATGCTGCTGGTTCGGTTGATGCTGTTGGTCCGGTTGATGCTGTTGGTTCGGTTGACGCTGTTGGTTCGGCTCACCCGCCCGAAGCTGTCTCGACGAGCCCAAGGCTCGGGCGAGCCTATCCCAGTCCTATCCTCATCCACCCAAACCAACGACCTCTGTCTCCCTATACTCCCTCCTCCCCCTCCTCCCCCTCCCTCTCCCCCTCCTCCTCCCCTTCCCTCACTACTCAACCAAGCACCTGAAGGGATCCTTTCCATATGTTCCTCCCCCATCCCCTCCCCCTCCTCCCCCTCCTCTCCCTCCTCTCCCTCCTCCCCCTCTTCCAGCAGAACCTCTCCCTCATCCTCCTCCTCTGCCCAATCCGGAGGCCCGTCCCCCCACTGCTCCCAAAACCTCAGCCACACAGCCAGTGCTACAGTGAAAGCTTCGCTGACGTGGCGCTCTTTCAGCCTATCAGAGAGCTCCGTTGCGCTTCGGAATTTCTCGCAGATCCACTCAAAGTCCCGGTGTGCCGCAGCTGACGACGAGGCTCGAACCATCGACCCAAGCCTGCCGCTGCTGCTGCCGAGCCTGCCACTGCTACCCCCGAAGCTATCTGGCCGCATCCGAGCCAGACTGAACCCACCTTCCCTATACACCTCCTCTCTACCCTCCTCCCCTTCGTCACCCCTCCTATACCCTTTATAAGCATCCTCAGTCACCAACTCATCCTGACCTCCCTCCCATCGCCCCCCCTCCTCACGCCCCCACCCAACCCCACCACCAACCCCCCCACCCACACACCCATCCCCAGCCGTCCGATTCACCATCAAATCGCCCTCATCGTCCACAGACTCATCTCCAGCCGTCCGTTTGAGCATTAGATCGAGCAGATCCATGAAAAGAAGCGTCCAATGCTCCCTGCACCTTTGAGCCCTCACCCTAGCCGCCCCTATCGGCCCAAACTCCCGACCACAGTGCCAGTAATTGCTGCTCCCTGCAGCACTCCCTGCTAGAACACCACCCGCAGCACCTGCACCTGCAGGCCCAATATCCCGGTACTGTCGATGACCGTCTCCCCCTACCCCACCACCACCAGCACCGCCGCCGCCGCCACCGCTGCTGCTGCTGGTGCCGGTAAACCCAAAGGGCGTGGGGGGGGCAGAGCGCTGGGAGGAGCCTGCGAAGCCTGAGAAACCCGAGGGGCCGGAGGGGCCTGGGGAATCCGAGGGGGCTGAGAGGAGGAGCGGGCGGAACTGGAACCCAGAGCTGGTGGGGCGACCCATGGCCTGCTGAACCGCATTGAGAGGTGGCAGGTCAGGATCACGTTGAGGGGCTTGGAGGGTGCCTTTTTCTAAATTGTCGCGGCTGCCTTTCAACGGATGGACCTGCACGCCCCGCTCCCGCTCCTCGTCCTGCTCACACTCCTCGCTCTGCTTTTGAGGCGAATCGATAGGCTGCTCCTCCCCGCCACTGTGAGCATCGCTCTGCCCCTGCTCGCCCCTCACTCGGATCCTCTTGCCTTTGAACACAAGCTGTGAACCCATTCCCTCCTCCCCTTTCCGCTCCTCCTCCTCCCTTTCCACCTTTGGCCTCCCTGACAATATGACCCCTCCCCTCAGTTCCTCCTCCCCTGCCCCTTGTTCGCTCTGCTCTTCCGTTCTTTCCTCCCCCCTTCGTTTCTCCTTCCTTCCCTCACCACGCTCAACAGGCAAATCTTGCGTGGGGCCACATAAAGGCCCTGGACGGGTAGAGAGTCCTGAGACGGTATAGAGGGGTTCTGAGCGGTCAGAATGGGGTGCTGAGGGGTTGGATAGGGTGGGGAGCTGCGAGAGGGGGCGCACCGGGACCCGCACTGTAAGCAGGGGGCTCGCAAAGTCAAACTCGTCCATACCACCGCTGACCTGGCCGCTGCTGACCTGTCCGTTGCTGACCTGTGTGCTGTTGACCTGCGTTGACCCCGTTGACCCTGGTGACTCTGGTAGCCTTGCTGGATCTGCAAAATTCGTTGACCCTGCTGCTAGCCCCATTGACCGCGTTGACCCTGTTGACCCTGTTGACCCCGTTGACCCTGGACCCGCCTTTCCCAGATCTGCCATGGTATAATCTCGAGGCAAACCAGGCATAGCAGCAGCAGCACCACCACCACCACCCAGTTGAGCCGTCTCAAAAGGCTTGCCCAAATCTACCAAGGTAAAATCTCGAGGCAGACCGGGCATGGCAGCAGCAGCACCCTGTTGCGACGCCTCGAAAGAATCACAGCCCAAATCTGCCATGGTGAAATCTCGAGCCAAACCAGGCATAACAGCAGCAGGAAAAGTCCCCTCTGTGAAATTGCCAGGCATTCCCGTTTCCTCTCCTCCCGCTTCCTCTCCTCCCACCTCCTCAGGGGTGGCTGCCTCCGCTCCTCCCTCTCCCTCTGCTACACTCTCCTTCTCTGCCTCCCCCACTTTTGCTCTCTCTCTCCCTTTCTCTCTCTCCTTCTCTCTCCTTGTTCCCCTCTCCTGCTCTCTCTCTTTCTCCCTCTTCTTCTCCCTCCCTTTCACGACTCCTAGCTTGGTCCACTCTATCACACCTTCCGATGATTCTGCCTCCCCACCCCCCTCCACCTCATCCCTATCCTCTTGAATCCTATCCCCTCCAATTCTGCCATCTTCGATCGTACCCTCTTCTTTCCCTCCTCTTTTCTCCTCTTCCACTCTCTCCACCTCCTCCCTCTTCTCCTTCCCCTTTGCATCCTTCCCCTTCCCGTCCCCTCCCCCATCCCTCTTCTCCCCTTCCTTCCTCCCTTCCCTCCTCCCATCTTTCCTTCTCCTAGATGAAACCTCACCTCCTCCCTCCTCATCATCCCCACCAGCAACCCCATTCCGTCTGCTGCTACTCTTCCCCATCCTCCTCCCATCCCCACTGCTCGGATTCGGACTCACAATCTGTCCCGTTCCCCTACTACTACTCTTCCCTATCCTCCTCCCATCACCACTGCTGGGACTCACAACCTCCCCTGTTCCCTTACCACTGCCGCCCTCCCTCCTGCTACCACCACGCTCCCTCCCACTCCTGCCAAGCTCCCGCCCACCAGTGTCACCCTCCTTCCAGCTACTGCTAGGGCTTTCCATGGGGCTGATGCTACCGCAAGTTCCTGTATCGAAGCTAGTACTCGCATTGCTCTCTGTCCTCGTTACAGAGCTCTCTGTCCTCGTTATAGAGCTTGCTGCGTTACTGTCAGTCCTCTCTACAGACCTTGATGCGTTGCTGCTAGGGCTAATAGCAACAGCAGCATCGCCACTGGTGGCTTTCTTTACCTTGTGCTTCTTCTCTGTCTTGACCCTATCCTCACCCTTAGTACTCCTGCTCTTCCTTAGAGCTTTGCCACTGTTGCTTCTCATACTATCACTTCTCATGCTATTCCGTTTCATCGTCTCACTTCTCATCGTGTCGCTTCTCTTGATATCCTCACTTCTCATAGTATCACTCCTCATACTGTCACTTATCACACTGCCACTTCCCACACTATCACTTCTACCACTTAGTACACGCACTTCCGCACTCCTGTCCCCGTCCCTCTCCGTTTCCCCTCCCACCAATCTCCCCTCTCCCTCCCCCACTCCCCCCTCTCCCTCCCTCACTCCCCCCACTACCTGTCCTGCTCCTCCCTCTTCCCCTCCAATCCCTGCAGTCGCTGCTTCTTTTTCCACTCTCTTCTCTCCGTCCTTCTCTCTTCTTTCTTTCCTCTCCTTCTCCTTCTTCTCCCTCCTCTCCCTCCTCTCCCTCCTCTCCCTTCTCTCCCTACTCTTTTCATCCTCTTCCTCCTCCACCACGCCTTGCAGTTCGCCTCCTCCCTCTCTGCCTCCACTCTCACTCCCCTCACACGCAGCAGACGACTTTTGAGGCGCCCCATAAGAATTCTCCTCTCTGATTCCACACGCGTGCACTGCCAAACTCCCCTCTTCCTCTTGCAAACTCCCCCCTCCCCCTTGCGAACTCTCGCCTCCCCCTTGCAGACTCCTCTCTCCCCCTTGCAAACTCCCTGCATCACGTTTTTCCCCCAGAGTCTCCCATCCAAGTCCCCCACCCACCCTGTCATACGCTGATTGGCCAGCCTCCGCTGAAAGCAACACTGCTTCCCCTGGTGATCTTCGAACCTCCTCCTCCCCAACCTTTTGGGTCAACTCAAAAATTGCCCCCTCGAATGCTGACTGGCCAGCCTCTGCTGGAAGCAACAGTGCGTCCCCTGGTGGTCTTCGAACCTCCTCCTCCCCAAGCCCTTCACCTCCTGCCTTATCCTCCCTCACTCCCGCCTCCCTCACTCCACTGACCCTCTTTCCAATCCCCCTCACTCCAATCCCACTCGCCCTCTCCCACTCCTCGAGCTCCAATCTCCCTTCCCACTCCCAATCCTCCCCCTCTCCATCCACTCCTCTTCCCATACCACCACCCAAGCCACCACCAGCAGCGCCACCACCACCATCACCGCCCCCTCTCCTCTCGACTCCCCCACTCGCCAGCATCCTTTCAAAATCCAACGCTGTTAAGCTCTTCCCCCTCATAGAACTTGATCCTGCCTGTCTTCTCTTAGCCTGCAGCAACGGGCTGTTAGCACCCGTTGCCCCACCCCCACCTGCTACAGCTGCTGCTGCCACTGCAGCAGCTGCAGCCATCGCAGCTCCGGCCGAACCTCCTCGGAACGACCGGGAGTGGAGAACCGAGCCTCGGAGACCCGAGCCTGACCCTGCCGAACCTCCTGAGGCTCCGAGCCCGAAATCGTCTCCTCCTGCAGAAGCAGCTTCCCTCCAACCCCCTTTGCCTCCTGGGACCCTCCTTACAGTCACCATGGCATCTAGGGCAGTGCTTGCCCCGTCTAAAAGTGACTTGGAATGGTGATGCTGCTGCTGCTGCTCTTTCTGTGTAAGGGAAGGACCAGGCTGGAAGCGAGAGGAAGGAGGGGAGGCGTGTGAGGTGGTGGCGGGTGCCCACGAGTGCGCGGCAGGGGGAAGATCAAATCCAGACTTGGACACGGGAATGTTTGGCGAGGGGTGCGACGGCATAGCTGCAAGCAGGCGCGATGGGGACATGGATGGTGACAGCGATGCCGATGCTGATTGCGATGCCGATGCTGATGCTGAGGTTGGGAACGCCTTTGATTGGGCATGGGAAGCTGGGGGGGATGCCTGGGGGGGTGAGGAAGCAGCAGCAGCAGCAGCAGCAGCAGCAGCAGCAGCAGCAGCAGCAGCAGCAGCAGCAGCAGCAGCAGGGCTGCCTGTGCGACCATCTGGCTTCACCTCCAGTCTCCCTTCTGACAGGGATGATGACCGAGACGGGCGAGGAGGCCGGAGGGGCGATCTAGCAGGGGTACGGGAGGGTGAGTGCCCAGGTGAAAACGCAGGAGTTGGCGAAGCCGGGTGCCCAGGTGAAAACGCAGGCGACATGCCAGGTGATCTGCCGGGTGATCTGCCAGGTGATCTGCCAGGTGAAAAGCCACCCAGCTCAGCTCCCTCGCTCCCTCCTCGGCCCCGCACGTGCCCTGCTGGCGGCATGTCCGGGAACCGCCCTTCAGCAATACGCCCTGCCCCAGGTGGCACCTGCCCTTCCGCCCCTTCCGTCCCTTCCGAACCTACCTGCCCTCGGGTGCCTTCCTGTCCTTCCTTATCACCCGACATTCCTCCCAGGTTCATGAGTGGCGTATCATTCGCCACTGGAAACTCGTTAGTGTCAGATGCGCTACTGGCAGCAGGGTGGCTGGAAAAGACGTCTCGAGAATGAGTGGAAAGAGCTGTGCTACCATCACCTGCAACCCCCTCGTCCTCCTCTATGCTACACAGACTGCTTCGCACACTCCCACTGCCACTCCTGCTCCTCCTCCTCTCGTACCCCATCCCCTCCCTGTGCCCTCCCCCTTCCTTCTCCCTCTCTCCATCCCTTCCCCGTACCTCCTCTCGCTCTCCTTCCGTCACGCCCTCCCCCCTTCTCTCCACTCCTGAAATCCCCAAGCCCTGAATCCTAGTCGCCCTTCCCCCGCGCTCATCCCTCTCCCTCTCACCCTTGCCACTCTCTCCTTTCACACCCTCTCTTCCCCCTCCCTCACGCGCTCCGCCCTTCTCCCTCTCGCCACTGTCACCCCTCCCTGCGTCCTCCTCCTCGCCCCTCTCTGCGTCCTCTCCACCCTGTGCTCGCTGCAGGGACCGCCTAATCGCTATCGCTTCCATTAACGAGCTCGGCTCGCGGATTTCATCGTCTAGCGCCATGCCCTCTTCGCTGCCTTGGTCATCCTCGTTATCAGCTTCCTCGCTATTCGGATCTCCACCGCCAATAGCTGTTCCCTGCTCTTTCCTGTCTGCTTCGTTCTTGTTACCGTTGCCTTGTCTTACTCCCCGCTTCCGCGGCAATTTCCTGGAGCTCCCCCCAGCTTCCCCGCTACTTAGTTCCCCTTGCGCATCTTCCGTCCCTTCCTCCGCCATTCCCCCTTCGCCTGCCCCCTTCATCCGCCTGTTCCGCAGGCGGTGGATGCGCTCCGAGCGCTCCGCCATGTCCTCGGGGTCCCAGTCCCCCGCCACCATTCCGCTGTGCGGAAAGAAGCACGCGCGGAAGCTCCCCGCGCCCATCGTCGCTCGGCGCAACGCGCGCGCCTTGCTCTTACTCTTGCGCTCCCTTATCCCGCCCGCGGAACTCCCGGCGCTGGCCGTTGCGGTGACGGCAGCGCCGCTATTCACGGAGCTGATTGCGGCGCTGCCAGCTGCCGAGCCGGCGTAACTGCTGGGGATGCTGCTGCTGCCGCTGCTGGCGACCCCATCATTAAAGAAAGCCGCTGGAAAAAAGGAGTGTACGTGTTGGCTGCTGCTGCTGCTGCTGTTAATGCTACTGACATCGCTAGAGGCAGACCGGGAACTCGCCGACTTGCTAAAAAGCCACCGACGATCTCTCGGCCGGCCTTTATTCGCCGCCGCCGCTGCTGCTGCTGCTGCTCCAACCGCAGCGACGCCAGTCCCGTTATTGGCATCTACCGATACAGGAACGCTCGGAGTACCATCGCGAGAGCCTCTTAACGAAAGCATGAAGCGGCGGCTTCGTGATTTAGTTGGAGACGTAAGGCTCGCTGTACGGGGAACTGGACTTTGCGGACCGGATGAGGGTTCACTAACCATAACGCTGCCGCTTCTAACGGGGATACTTGCGGAATGTGGACTGTCGTGTAACGAGTATTCCGAGGACAGGCTTTTATCGGAGCCCTGGTGAGAATACTTCACATTTGCCATCTTGCTAGATACACCTACTTGTCTCCTTTTACACGGCCTGTACCGACGCCGCTGCAAGCGCTTAGTAGCGCAATCTAGGCTTCATCAAATAGTCAGAACCTAAACAGTACCAACACCTAACTTGCTTGCTGGTCAACAAACAGAGTAGAAAGGCTTGAATGGGTGAAACACTGAATGTATGCGATGGCTGGATTGGGGGAGACGACGACACACATGGTATGCGGGGGAGCGTCATAAAAAGGCAGGCAGGGAGATAATCAAGAGATGCAGTGGGGTGACACGGCACGGCACCAGACATACAGACCTGGTACTGTATCAATGGACGCGCCAACATCGGGGATTGTTGTGGTGCGTTTTTCAAACGCAACAAATGTTCCCGAGGTGCTTTTTTCGCTGGCGACAGAGAATCTCCGGCTCGTTCCAGCCTAGGTTCTGTCGCGAAGTTCCTGATATTTTTTTGAACCGTCCTTCTCGATGACACAAAGGTTCGCTTGGCTCGAAGATACTGTACAGAAATTGAAGGACGGGGTATGGTGTGCAGCGCTGTTCCCCATGGCCTGCTGATAACAAGTAAACACAAACATGCTACAAAATCCCTTCAAAAATACGCGCTATACTCTCAATAACCTCACCACTACACGCATTTCCTGTCTGCATAAGAGCATCACCCTTCACTTGAAAATGCATACTTCTGATTCTCCATCCCCGATTCTGACGCTACATCGCTTCTTTACAGTCTAACTGTTTTCATTCACACCACTCGCCGTTATTTTCACTACGAAATTGCACCCTCGAAATGTGAACTGATCCGCTCCTGACCCGACCACTCTCCTGACCCAACCACTCTCCTAACAGATCTGTTTGTGATCACACTACGCAATAGCATAATCGATATCATGAAATCATGCCGGAATGAGTAGCCAATCAGTGCGGTGCGGCGCGTCGCGGTAATACTCTCATAATTGGCCGTGCCATCGATGGCATGATTCCACCCAGCACGTATGGCCTTCGAATAGGCGCTTTGTCCCATCTAGCACCGTCAGCATTGTGAGCGCCTTCATCGCCGTCAGCACCGTTAGCACCACCGCGACCGGCATGCCAATCCACCATCCAACCCCCTGGCAAACCCGTCAACCCTCATCTTCGTTATTCAGCTTTTTAGGGTTTCCGCGGTTTCGCCGCTTGCTGGCGCGAATGCCGCAGCGGTACGTGGTTGTGCTGCTGACTGCAGCATGCACGACGGTGTGTTATATCGAACGCGTGGGGTTCAGCGTGGCGTACTCGTTAGTAGCTAATCGCAACCACGTGGATCAGGCCACCAAGGGCTGGGTGCTCTCGGCGTTTTATTACGGATACGCCCTTTCCCAGGTGGGTGTCTTGCGAATGCGCCCTGTTTCAGGTGATTGCGTCGCGAATTCGTAAGGGTTCAAATTTCACGGATTCTCTGCTGTGTGTTTCACTGAGTGTTTGGCTTCACCGTGCCTGCCGTGCCGCTCACTGTCCCTTCTTCCTCATTGCCCCACGCTGTCCCAGCCGTCACCCTCATCCTATCTCCACACGTCATCACCTCCCAGGAAGAACCGCTGCTCCCTTCCCCTCCGCTCTCCTTCTTCCCCTCCTCTCTCCTTCTTCCCCTCCGCTCTCCTTCTTCCCAGTTAGCTCCACTTCTCCCATCCACTCGCCTCTTGTTCACACGCCATCAGCGACGAGGCAGTCCCACCACTAATCAACCGCTATGCTGCCCTAGAGCCATCCCCGTCTGCTTCCGTGGCCCGGAATTTGCGAGAATCGTGAGAAACAGGAAATGCCGGAAGCCGACCTGCTGATCTCTCCCTTCCCTCTCCACCCCCGTTTCTCCCATTCGTGCGTCCCCGTTTCCCCTCACCAGCTGCCTGGGAGTTCTGCTGCTCAGCGCTTTCGAGGCCGGCGACTTTTGAGGCGCCTTTTGAGGCGACTTTTGAGGCGCCTCAAAAGTCGTTTCCCCTCACCAGCTGCCTGGGAGTTCTGCTGCTCAGCGCTTTCGAGGCCGGCGGGCCATCACCATGGCCTTCCTCGCCTGGGGGAGGAATGCGTGGCGCTGAATGCTTGAATCCACTCACGCATCCATCCCCTCTCCTCCCATTCTTCCACACTTCCTTCCTTCCAGGTCTCAGGCAGCTCTGCAGCGCTAAGTTGTTTTGGAGGCCGGAGGGTGATCACGTGATCACCGTGGCCTTCCTTGGCTGGTGTGCTTGAACTTGCACTTCCATCCCCCCCCCCTTCTCTTCCCCCATCTCACTCCCGTCCCAGGTGCCAGGCAGCTGCGCCGCACAGCGCTTTGGAGGCAGACGAGTCATCACAGTGGCCTTCTCTTCCTCGCCTGGACCGTCCTCTCCCTCCTCACTCCTTCCCACCCCTCCTTCGCCCCCCTCTTACTTCCTAATCTCCTTTCAGGTGCCTGGTAGTTCTGCAGCGCAACGCTATGGCGGCCGGAGGGTGATCACAGTGGCCTTCCTCGCCTGGACCGCCCTCTCCCTGCTAACTCCCTCAAACCCGACCTCCTCCTCCCTCACCTCGCCCTCCCTCCTCGCGCTGCTCCTCATCCGCTTCCTAGTGGGCGCCACGCAGGGCTTCATCTTCCCCTCCATCCACACAGTGCTCGCCCTCTGCATCCCTCCCCATGAAAAATCCCGAGCCGTCAGCCTCACAATGTCGGGGATGTATCTGGGGGCCGGGGCGGCTATGTCTCTCATGCCGGCTGTAGCGGCGGGGGAGGCGCCCTGGGGCGGGCCGGCCGCGGTGTTTCGGTGGTCGGCTGGGCTGGGGTTGATGTGGGTGGTGCTGTGGGTGCGGCTGTTTTCAAAGGATCCGCCTGGAGGAGGGGGGATGGGAAGAGGGAGCGGTGGTGGTGGTGGTGGCAGTGCTGGTGATGGGAACCCGCTGTCTCCCCGTTTGCCTGGAAGTAAGCACGATCTCCTACAGGATGATGATGTGAAAGACAGTGCGGTTGGGAGTGGTGGAAGCAGCAGCAGCTGTAGCAGCAGTAAGGTTATTCCTTGGGGAGCCATGATGAGCAGCTGGGCCATCTGGGCTATAGTTATTAATAACTACACTTTTCATTACGCACTTTACGTGCTTATGAACTGGCTTCCTTCCTACTTCGAGCAAGCGCTACACACATCGCTCCAAAGCATCGGCATCGGCAAATCCCTCCCGTATTACATTATGATGATATTTTCCAACGTTGGTGGTGTAGCTGCGGATTTCCTTATCACGTCGCAATACCTGTCAATCGCAGCTACCCGGAAGGTTCTGAATACGGTTGGGTTTCTTATTGGAGCTTTGGCACTGTGCCTGATGCCGGTTCTTTCGTCGGTCACGGGAGCTATTTTATGCTCAACCATAACTCTGGGTGCTTGTGCATTTGCACGAGCAGGCTTCTCAGTGAACCACATGGATATTGCACCAAGGTATGCAGGCCCCGTTATGGGTATCTCCAATACTGCTGGGACATTGGCGGGTATCGTGGGGGTGGCAGCAACAGGGTTAATTCTCCAAGCATGGGCTACGGATATTGAATTCGGATGGTGGCTTGCGTTTGTTACGCCAGCTGGCCTGTGTGTGCTAAGTGCCGCAATCTTCTGTGCATTTGCTACGGGGGAGAGGTTGTTTGATTAAATAGAAATACACTAACATCATTTAGCAATTGTAGTATAAATTTGCCTGATTTTATTCTCTCGAATGGAAGAGTGGGACCACTAACGAACCCCGCGATTGCCGCATCAGACAACTTCCCATCCCACACTCTCATCATCGTACACTTCGATGGAATCGCGCGTGCGTTGCGTTGGGTGCGGCTGCTGGTGACGGACGGAGGACAACGAGGTTGGTTGGGCGATGATGATGTATCTTGTCGCCGAATCATTCGCTCGTCCTTCGGCGAACTCCCGATGTTGTCGTCGTGTGCGCCCTTTCCTTCTGCGGACTGCTAAAAAAAACTTATAAAAACTAGTTACAGAATGTTCTCCCTGCCCTCGATATCATAGTTATCACGAACTTGCCTGCGGATTCCGGCTTCTGGCGGCTGCTTTCCCTTCATGATTGCTGCTCTACGGTCAGAGAAGTAACCTGATGCCCTGAAATGAAATTCAGCAGGGGATACCACAACAAATCACATGCTGTGTTGTGAAGACCCAATCAGGCCGACGAACTTGTCGGAATACACGTGATTCCCTTCTTCGGACACGTTTTTCAGTGGTTCCCATCTTCTATTGTGTTCGGCATCTACAACGTAGTGGGATTTTTCCGGAAATTGGTGTTTTCTCACGCTGCCCTCCACATGTTCCTTGCAACCAGCAACGAGGGGTGTAACAGTGTCGATATAATGTGCATCGGCCTGTAACGCGTGTGCATGTATGAGATTCCTGAATATTGAAGGCGTAAATTGCATGAAGATAATTATGCGTATGTAAAGTTAACTGAAACTTGAGTGTACAGTCCAGTTGTTTTTGGTGGCTGATATTTTTGTCCCAGTCACAGTCACAGAGCAGCAGCAGCATTAGTGGTTGTTTCGCTACAGTACATTCATTTGCCACCAGTAGGCTGCATTCATCGATTTGCCTCGCCTTCCCGTCATTCTTCCTCTTCCTGATGATTGCTTCCCTGCTGCTTATGTCGCATCAGTCCCAACTTTTCGACCACGCTTCTCCTTGCACGTTCCTGGCTCTCATTTCGAAGCGTGATTGCAAGTGTCTTTATTTGCGGTGTAACGACCTGTATCCTTCGCATGATTGCTCCCTTGCATCCTCCTGTCTTCCCGTCGGCGGATTGGGGATGATTGTTTCTGTTCCTCGCGCAATCAGCCCTTTGATGTCATTCTTCCTGATCCGAACAAACCAACTGCTTACGTGTTACTGCATGGTTGTACAAGCGCGCCCTTTTCGAGGTGACTTTTCGAGTTGCTCAAGAACCAATTTTTAAATGCGTAGTTGATTGCACTTGCAGCTCCTTTTCCATGCGCGTAGCGGACGTGTTGCTTGCTCCATTTGCCGAAACCACGCATTTTTAGTCAGCTCAGAAGTCGGACATTTTGCGATCCTCGGGCATTGCATTTTACAAGTCTCGCGCAGGACGAGCAGGACGTAGAGCACCAAATTGCGACGTCAAGAGCTAGACTACGGCTTAGTCCAACCCGATCGCGCTAGGAATAATGTCCACATTTCAGAGCAGCACGGGAAGCGAGCCGTTACAGCGACGCCACATTGAGGGGAATAGAATCTGAAATCTCAACTCGACAGCCACATCGGTAACTAGAGCCGAAGAACAGCAGAGCTTGTCGTTCGGCATTCATTTCTTAGTAACGGATTTTGTTGATCAACAATATCGCGGAGTGCGATCGCGCGTTCAGAAATAAATTCCTTTTTTTCCTTTTTGTTCTTTCCAGTAGGTCGGACCACCTTTCTTCGCCAATCTTCTTGTCGTTCCTCGACGTAGCGTTATCTGGCGTATCTATTTAGTATTCTGAGACTCACCCAATCTTCATCAAAGTCGGGTCGCGCTTGTCATCATCGAGGTGACTTTTGAGTCGACTCAAAGGTCACCTCGTGATCGGAAGCTTCTATAGTATTCTGAAAGGCGCGCCATTTTACCAAGGTCGGGTCGCGCTATCATCATCAACCTCCTCCCAGTGCGTGGGATCTTGCGGCAGGCCCACACGCTGCCTTATAGTAGCGCGTACAGACGAAGGTCTTGACTTGCTGGCTGGTGAATCCTCATCGACGGTGTGCGTGCGTCTATCGACGGCGGAGATTCGCCGTCAGCGTCGACTATCGACGGCGAGAACTTGGCGTTGTAAATCGACGGCGGAGAGTCGGCGTTGGGCATCGACAGCGGGGAAGAGCCGATGGGGAGCGCAAGAGGTTTCGACGTCGTTAAGGGTTATGTGGACACGGATTACGGCCAGATTCACTTTCGCAGGTGAGTTAACTGGAAAAAAACAAAAAGAAGCACACTATTGCTATGCTATGAATACGGCTAGATACACTACCGCAGGTGAGCTATTAAGGTAATTTCAGAGTCGAATCAATAGTCACCCCATATCACGGCCACAAACACTACACACGTAAGCTAAAGTAGTGACCTTTGAGTCGACTCAATAGTTATCTCCAATTTACGGTCAAAACGAACTACCGCTGGAGAGGTAACGCGGAGGAATGCGGCATCAGGTATGCCACTGCTACAGGTGGTGCAGATACGCTATCGCGACAATGGGATATAGATAACATGCCGACGCTCTAGGGTGTTTTTGAGAATTCTCAAAAACATGCTGACGCTCTAGGGTTTTCAACGTGACGTTCCAACAGCCACTCACACCCGCACTCTTCCCCTCCTCTCCCTTCCAACATCCCCCCCCCTCCCCACCCCTCCCCTCCTCTCTCTCCGCCGGTTGTTTTTTTAGAATTCGTGTACCCCGTTACCATTTATCCCCCCTCCCTCCTCCCCCACCCCTTCCCCTCTTCCCACACCCCTACCCCTTTCCCCCCCAAATCTCCTCCGCGCGTCTCGTTTTTCCCCCGTGGTCCTCACTTGATGTTGCTCTTTCTTTCCCCCAACTTTCCTTTCCCCCTTCCCCCGGTCTCTCCCGCGCTCGTCATCCCCTCGACACCCCTTCCCCCCACCTTTCCCGACGCGCAGATGCGGACAAGGCATGCCGTCCGTGCTGCTCCTGCATGCCGCCCCGCAATCCTCCTCCATGTTCTCCTCCGCGCTCAAGCGCTTTGCCGCCCGGGGGCTGCACGCCGTGGCCGTCGATCTACCCAACTGCGGCGAATCCAGCCGTTCGTCCGTGGAGCTGACGATCGCTGACGTGGCGGAGATCGTGCTGCAGGCGATCCAAGGGCTGAGATTCACCAGCACCATCGACCTGGTAAGCATCGAACGGAGGGTGGGGGTGGGAGGCCATGGTCGGGGAGGGAGATAAGGGAAAGAGAAGGGAAAGAGAAAGGACAGATGGGGGGAAAGGGGGTACGGAGAGAGGGTGGGTGATTCAATGGGGGGTGTGGAGAGGGGGGAAGAGGGCCGAGTGCGGGGCATTGCCCTTTGAATGTAGGGAGAAGGGGAGGGGAAGGGGGGAGGGGGAAAGGGGGAGGGGGAAAGGGGGAGGGGGAATGAGGAGCATCGTTTGGCTAGTTGGAGTCAGTACAAACCCCCAACACAGCATGACCTGGATGAATACATAACAACGGACCAGCTTGGTCAAAAGAAGTATACGTACACATCGCACCCCGCCGGCCTGACTGCGGCAGGAAAAGAATAAGAAAACCTTTCAAACGACTTGCCCGCTCGGGAGGCTTTTTCATTCCCCCACCCAAACCAACACCCCTTCCCCGCTACACCGTGCCGCCCCATGTTACCTTCACCCACCCGCCCACCCACCCCTATCCACCCCCACCCAACCCCATCCACCTTCACCCACCCCCATCCACCCACCCCCACCCCCACCCACCCACCGTATCCACACAGATCGGGCACCAGACGGGGGCGACAGTGGCGCTGCAAATCGCGTCAGACCTCGCCCAGGTGGTGCGGTGGGTGGTGCGGTGGGTGGTGCTGTTTCCCAAACCTCTCCCTCCGTCCACACCCTGTTCTGTTCCTCACCCCACCCGCACAGAATCCGCGTGTAATGAGTCGTGTTTTGAGTCGACTCAAAACTCGTCCCCCACAGATCGGGCACCAGACGGGAGCAACAGTGGCACTCCAGATCGCGTCAGACCTCCCCCAGGTGGTGCAGCGGGTGGTGCTGTGGGGCGTGTTCATGCTAGGAGCGGCCACGGGGACCTTCACTCACGTGCTGAAACCCTTCTCACCGCTCCCCACCCCTTCCCTCTACCCCCACAGATCGGGCACCAAACAGGGGCGACAGTGGCGCTGCAGATTGCCTCTGATCAGATTTACCACAGGTGGTGCTGTGGGGCGTGCTAATGCTGGGATTCATGGAGCGAGGGAGCCTTGTCACGTTCTGCAACCTTTCTCACCACTCCCAACATTTCTCAACCTCAATATCTCACTGTTCCCCGCCATTTCCCCCAACCACTCCCCCTCTACCCCCACAGATCGGGCACCAGACGGGAGCAACAGTGGCGCTACAGATCGCATCAGACCTCCCCCAGGTGGTGCGGCGAGTGGTGCTGTGGGGCGTGCCCATGCTGGGCTTCATGGAGCGACCATAAGGACCTTCTCTCACGTTCTGCAACCCTTCTTACCGCTCTCCACCCCTTCCCTCTACCCACACAGATCGGGCACCAAACAGGGGCGACGGTGGCGCTTCAAATCGCATCAGACCTCCCCCAGGTGGTGCGGCGAGTGGTGCTGTGGGGCGTGCCCATGCTGGGCTTCATGGAGCGAGGGGGGGCTTCTCACCACTCCCCACCGGTCTCCACCTCTGTATTTCATTGTTCTTCAACGATTACCCACCCACCCACTCCCCACAGATTGGACACCAAACAGGAGCGACAGTGGCGCTGCAAATCGCGTCAGACCTCCCCCAGGTGGTGCGGCGAGTGGTGCTGTGGGGCGTGCCCATGCTGGGCTTCATGGAGCGAGGGGACGTGCTGAGGGAAGAGCCTCCCGATTATGACGGGGACTTGGAAGGCACTGTGGCGACCTTTTTGGAAAAGAGATACCCGTACCCCGTGCCCTGGCAGCTCAAGGTAACGACAGGAGGTCTGGAGGTGGGTTTTGTGGAGTGTTGTGGGGTGCTGTGGGGTGGCCGGCTGCTGGGGCGCCTGGGAGTGGTGCTGTGGGGCGTGCCCATGCTGTGCTTCATGGAGCGAGGGGACGTGCTGAGGGAAGAGCCTCCTGATTATGACGGGGACCTTGAAGGCACTCTGGCCACTGGCGACCTTTCTGGAAAAGAGATACCCCTACCCCGTGCCTTGGCAGCTATAGGTGAGGCGAGCAGGATAAGGTGGGATGCATAGGGTGCGGTGCGGTGCTGTGGGGTGTGTGGGGTGTCTGGCCGCTGGGGCTTCTGGGGGTGGTGCTGTGGGGCGTGCCCATGCTGTGCTGCCTTCAAGGTCCGCACCATGCTGTGCGGGGTGCTGTGTGGTGCTGTGCGGGGTGCTGTGTGGTGCTGTGTGGTGCTGTGCGTGTGGTGGCCTGTGGGGTGCCTGGGGGCCTGTGGGGTGTGGGCATGCTACGATGTGGATCTCAAGGGCACTCGTCCCTCGAGAAGCGATACCTCCGCTCCCTGCCCATGCCCCTGCTGTTCTCTGCTTGCTCTCTCCCTGCCCATGCCTCTGCTGTTCTCTGCCTGCTCTCTCCCTGCCCATGCCTCTGCTGTCTGACCCGTGCCCTCCCCAGTTGTCTCCCCCTCCCCTGCCCCTCCGCACCCCACCACCACCAGGTGCGCACGCTGATAGACATGCCACAGACCTACGAGCCTCGCGCCTGGTTGACTCGAGTCATGGCAGTAGTGGAGTGCACCACACCGCCATCCTGGGCTCGCTCCCAGTGCCCGTGCTCTGCCTGTTGCTCTCTTCCTCCCCATGCCCCTGCTGCTGTGTGTAACCCCTGCTCTCCCCCTTTCCCTCGCCCTCCCCTTCCCCTGCCCCTACCCCCTCTAACAACAACAGGTACGCACACTCATAGACATGCTACAGACGTATGAACGCCGCCCCTGGCTGACTCGAGCCATGGCAGTGGTCGACCACGCCGCCCTGCTCGGCTCGCTCCCCATGCCCGTGCTCTGCCTGCTGCTGTGTCTGACATCCCCCCTGCCCACCTTCTTCCCATCCCCCTGCCCCCACCAGGTGCGCACACTCATAGACATGCTACAGACATATGAACGCCGCCCCTGGCTGACCCGAGCCATGGCGGTGGTCGACCACGCCGCCCTCCTCAGCTCCCTCCCCATGCCCGTGCTCTGCCTGGCCGGCGACAGCGAGCCGTATCAGAAAGCGACGATGAAAGCCGCCCTGCTGTGCAAGAACGGCAAGTACGTGAACCTGGGCTCGGCCGGCAGCGACGTGGTAGATGAAATCCCCGATGATTACGTGGCAGAGGTTCTGGGTTTTCTCCTGGAGCCAGATGTAGATGGGGGTGTGGGGGCAGGGGGAGCGGGGGGAGGGTCGGGGAGAGTGGGGGGCGGAGTGGGGAGGGTGGGGGCGCTGGGGGGAGCGGCGCAGGGGGAGCGGGCGAGCTGGTCGATTCAGAGTGAGGTGGTGGCGCAGGATGGGGGGAGGAAGATGTCTGCTGCTGCTGGCGTGGGGGGAGGCTGCGGGGGAGGAGTGGGGGGGAATCAAGCACTACGGCAAGGATCGTTGCCGAGTAATCTAGGGGGAGGAGCGGGAGGAGGGGTGGGAGGAGGGGTGGGAGGAGGGGGAGGGGGGGGAGGGGGAGGAGGAGCAGGTGTGGATGGCGGCCAGTCGCCGAGGGGGGAGGGGGATGAGAGGCGGTCGTCAAGTGAGAAGAAGCGAGGGCTGCTCAAGGGGCTGTTTAGAGGGAAGAGCGGGCTGCAGCAGCAGGGGTGATGGCAGGCAGATATGCACAGTGTTAACAGCAAGGGTGATGGCAGGCAGATATGCACAGTGAACAGCAAGGGTGATGGCAGGCAGATATGCACAGTGAACAGCAAGGGTGATGGCAGGCATGCATATGACAGGCAGATGGGAGGCAGATGGGAGGCAGATGGGAGGCAGATGGGAGGCAGATGGGAGGCAGATGGGAGGCAGATGGGAGGCAGATGGGAGGCAGATGGGAGGCAGATGGGAGGCAGATGGGAGGCAGATGGGAGGCAGATGGGAGGCAGATGGGAGCCAAATGGGAGGCAGATGGGAGGCAGATGGGAGGCAGATGGGAGGCAGATGGGAGGCAGATGGGAGGCAGATGGGAGGCAGATGGGAGGCAGATGGGAGGCAGATGGGAGGCAGATGGGAGGCAGATGGGAGGCAGATGGGAGGCAGATGGGAGGCAGATGGGAGGCAGATGGGAGCCAAATGGGAGGCAGATGGGAGGCAGATGGGAGGCAAATGGGAGGCAGATGGGAGGCAGATGGGAGGCAGATGGGAGGCAGATGGGAGGCAGATGGTCACTGCGATGTGAACAGTGATGGCAGTGTAGGGAATGGGAGAGGGCTGCTCAACGGGTTGTTTCGAGGGAAGAGCGGACTGCAGCAGCAGGGGTGATGGCAGGCAGATATGCACAGTGAACAGCAAGGGTGATGGCAGGCAGATATGCACAGTGAACAGCAAGGGTGATGGCAGGCATGCATATGACAGGCAGATGGGAGGCAGATGGGAGGCAGATGGGAGGCAGATGGGAGGCAGATGGTCACTGCGATGTGAACAGTGATGGCAGTGTAGGGAATGGGAGAGGGCTGCTCAACGGGTTGTTCCGAGGGAAGAGCGGACTGCAGCAGCAGGGGTGATGGCAGGCAGACAGGCAGATGGCAGGCAGACAGGGAGCAGCAGACTCGCATCAGTTGAGATTACTTTGCAGCATGGGGGGCAGCGGCACTTTCGAGAATTCTCAGAAGTGATTGCAGGCAGACAGGGAGCAGCAGCATTGGTGTTGGCCGGGATTAGTCAGCACGGGGGCCAGTAGCACTGGCACTGGCCTGACAGATAGTTTTTGGCAGCAATAGTGCGTCGAGAGCGCCACGTCAGCTGGAATGGCCACTGGTAGAACTGCCATAGATGATAGCTGGAGTTGCCATTTTATGTCAGCTGGATTGCTGTTTTCGTCAACTGGCCGGCACGGCTACAGCCTCCATCACAACTGCCGTCACCACCACCCCTTCCATCATTTACACAGAAAGCCTTTAAAAGATCGTGGTCTGCATGCTTGCAGCACTTGCATGCTTGCAGTATGCGTGATTGTTTTGGGCACGAATTGTAGCTCGTGTTTTTTTACCGCATTTAGTGTTTTGCTGAGCACTTGGTTTCCCCCTCACAAATTATGCCCTAAGCTGGGACGTTTGTGTCTACTAACATTTTGTGCTTAAGGTGTTCCTTTAGTTAGATACTGTATGTTAGGACGGATTCATATGAACTGCTGTAAGATTGTTTACCACATTGCACTTTGCCCCATCCATAATTCCTTATTATGCAAATCTCCACACACATCAACACTCATTACATTTTCATTAGTGGCTTATTATGTCGTGTACTCAGTTGCGGCTCGTTCCTCTGTTCGTTGTAAGCTCCTCGCTACTGCCAACCTACCTCTGCCTGGATCTGTGCGTCGAACACACCGACCACCAAACCACCTTACTGACGAAATTGTATGGCGTGGTTACCTTATCTCGCAATGCTCGTTCCCGTCTGTGGCGAGGCGACTCAATTTGGCAACTCAATTCCATAAATTGCCTTCCTGATCATTTTCTCGCATTTTGGAGCATTTTTTAGGACAGGATTGGAAGTTGCTACCTACCTACCATCCACGAAACCAGTAGCCAACGACGATTTACGGAACAACCGTTCTGCGGTGGCTAGTTGATTTTACTGCTTTTGTTGAAGAGGGCTTTCGTATATCTGTTTCATTCCGCTGCGGTCGACAGCGACGGCAGTGTTTCGCCGCCTCTGTCTCATCAAGGTTGTCCGTACGTGCCTGACACCAGAGACCTGGCGGACCGTGCTTAGTCACCGACACCTTTTGGTTTCCTCTGCGTCCTCAAGGTTGAGACTGGTTGAGACTGGTTGAGACCGGCTGAAACGGGTTGAAACCGGTTGTGTGGTTGCCGGCATGAACGGCGGTGCGAACGACAGCCGCAAGGCCAACATGGTCAATGCGGCGACGACTTTCAAGGTGCGACGCTCGTTTCAGGTGACTTTTGAGTAATCTAATAGTCGCCTCGTTTAGGTGACACGGCAGTTTCAATCTGACTGAGAGCTCGACAATTGTAAATGCGAATCTGAACCAGCCTACGACTGACTGAAGCCATTTCTCCAACTATCTAAAGTTTGCGGGACTTGTATCGACAGCTACCGTGTGTCACAACACAGGCAAATCGTATGGAAATGCATATATTGTCAAAATCTAGTTATGATTTAGTCCATGCGGTACATAGGTGACCACCTTTGAAATCTTGAGCCGCATCATAACATACCGCGTAAGCTTGCATCCTGGCTCATGACTCATTGCGATTCACTTACGCGGTGCGCGAGTCGCTTAGATTGCAGGTCGGTTGCTATGTACTCAAGTCTCACATAAGCTCGTCTGTCGATTCACGTCCCTTCGTCTTTTCATTCCCCCGGTTCCGCTTATCGCTTGCAATCCTCATTTCCGTTTTTCACTCGCAAACTTAACTTCCGCTCTGAATCTGTATCTCGGAACTTTCGATTCGACTTTGATTTTGGGGTTTCGTCTTCATCCGGCATCGGAAGAGGTGGAGGTCGGTTGGGAACGATTATTAAGAATTTGTAGAATAAATGCAACCCTCAAATCCACTCTGAATCTTTGTTTCAGAACTTCCAATTCGACTTCGACCTTGGGGTGTCGTCTGGATCGGGCATTGGAGGGGGTGGAGGTCGGTTGGGAACGGCAGGCGGCAGCCTCAAGGACCAGAAGCTCGGTGGCGGTGTGGTGAGTCAAATCAATGCGGATTTTTCGAGAAGGGAAAAAAAAAAAAAACAAAAACAAAACAAAACAAAAAAAACTGTCTTACAAACAGGTGTGAGCCCAGCGGTTTCGGTGATGCACTTTCTGAGCAAAATGGTGCGAAACGATGCAGAGCGATTCAGAACGATCCATTGCACAGACTTCGAGCGTTCTCCGAATGGGAGTGGGAAGACAGCAAGAGATTCTAGAGGCGCCTTAGAAGTAGTCGACCCAAAGGAAAAAGTACTGCAGCAAGCGATTCTTGAGGCGAGAAGAGAGAAAGAGGAGTCGTTGAGCTCAAAGAGAGAAGGACTGCAGCAATTGCCCGTCTTCTAGTATCTCTCTCACCTTCTCCGCTCACCCCCATTTCTCCTGCTCTCCGCCCCCCTCCCCGTTCCTCCACCCCCCTCCGCCTCCCCCTCCCCCCCCCCGCCTCCCTCCGCCACCTCTGCCCCCCTCCGTACCCTCCGCCCAATCTTTCCCCCTTCCGCTCAGGGTGGCGGAGGGCGACCAGGCGCGGGAGGCGGCTACGCGCAGGGCGCAACCTCGTGGTCCACAGGCGGAGGCGGAGGCGGAGGGGGAGCAGCGCGCGCGCCCCCCGCCTCCGCCAGCTCCTATGCGCAGGGGCAGGCGCAGGGGCAGGCGCAGAGGCAAGGGGGAAGCGGGGGCGGGCCTAGCTGGGTGCCTCTGGGGCAGTCGGGGATTGGCAGTGGGGGGAGCGGGGGGAGCGGATATGGGGGGATGGGGATGGGGGGGATGGGGATGGGGGGAATGAACGCCAAGCCTCTAAACTCCTCCCTGTCATCATCTGGTGCGTCAGCAGCAGCAGCATCTGCCAGCAAGGCGGATGACGTGTTCGCCAGCCTGTGGAGCAGCGCCACGGCCTCCGCGCGGCCTGGAGCGTCGTCCACGTCATCGTCCACGTCAGCGTACGGTGGGTCCACGTCAGCGTATGGCGCGTCAAGGGACAGCGCGGGAGGGGCGTCTGGGGGAGGTAGATTCGGGGGAGGCGGAGGGGGAGGCGGCGGGTTTGATCCATTTGGAATGGGCGATTTACGAAGCTCCGTTCCCAAAGCTGGTGCCTCAGGAGGAACAGGCGTGGCGGGAGGGGGGTTTGGTGCAGGAGCAGGAGCAGGAGCAGGGTTCAGCATGGGTGGTGGGATTGGCGGCGGTGGTGGCGGTGGCAGTGGTTTAGGTGGTGGTTTAGGTGGTGGGTTAGGCGGTCAGCCCATGAGGGGTGGCGTTGGTGGCCCTTCACTGCGCGCCTCTGCCCCATCTGCCGCCTCTGCTGCCACTTCTGCTTCCTCTGCTGCATCTGGCGATCCGTTTGCTGCTTCCTGGCCGGACCCTTTCGCCACCTCCTCCAGTAGCAGTGGCAGTGGCAACGGTGGTGGCGGTAACATTGGAAACATGAACAGTAGCAGCAGCAGCAGCGGCGGCATGGCAGGGGGGGGAGGAGCCAGAGCCTCATCCGCGTCTGCAGCAGACCCGTTTGCAAACTTCTCCGCCTCATTCCCCGCCCCACGCGCCGCTGCCTCCCCTGCTGCCCCCCCTCCTGCTGCCTCTGCTGCTTCTGCCGCCGCCGCCGCTGATCCGTTCGCTGCCTTCTCATCCAACTTCGGGAATTCCCAACCCCCCAGCAGCTCCCAGCCATCTGCTGCAGCGTCAGCAGGCTCATTCGATCCCCTTGTAGACATGCTTTTCAACCCCAAGCCCTCTGCTGCTGCTGGTAGCTCTGGTGGTGCTGGTGCTGGTTCTGCTGCTGGTGGTGGTTTTGCAGGGGCCAGCAGTGACAGCAGCAGCAGTTTCTTTGGAGCGAGCGCAGGTGGGGTTGATTTCGGGAACCAAGACGCGGGCGATTGGGGAAGCTTTGGGGATGCTTCCGCCTCCACGGAAACCACTGTAGAGCTAGACGGCATCGGGCCGCCGCCAGCGGGAGTGACTTATAATGCAGCGCTCAATAAGGGGACGGAGTTCTACAAAGGGGGGCAGTTTGCGGATGCGATCAAGTGGCTGGTGTGGGCGGAGCAGCTGGCGGAGAGAGGGGGGCAGGCGGACGGGGGGGGCCTGGTGGCTGTGCTGACTGCCCGTGCTTCATGTTACAAGGAGGCTGGCGAGATGAAGAAAGCCGTTGCAGATTGTAGCAAGGTGAGTGAGTACGCGTAAGGGCGGGGCACCCAGCATTGAGTGCAGCAAGGTGAGTCAGGGTGTTGACTGCACGGGCGTCGTGCTACAAGGAGGCTAGCGAGATGAAGAAAGCCGTTGCAGATTGTAGCAAGGTGAGTGAGTACGCGTAAGGGCGGGGCACCCAGCATTGAGTGCAGCAAGGTGAGTCAGGGTGTTGACTGCACGGGCGTCGTGCTACAAGGAGGCTGGCGAGATGAAGAAAGCCGTTGCAGATTGTAGCAAGGTGAGTGAGTACGCGTAAGGGCGGGGCACCCAGCATTGAGTGCAGCAAGGTGAGTCAGGGTGTTGACTGCACGGGCGTCGTGCTACAAGGAGGCTGGCGAGATGAAGAAAGCCGTTGCAGATTGTAGCAAGGTGAGTGAGTACGCGTAAGGGCGGGGCACCCAGCATTGAGTGCAGCAAGGTGAGTCAGGGTGTTGACTGCACGGGCGTCGTGCTACAAGGAGGCTGGCGAGATGAAGAAAGCCGTTGCAGATTGTAGCAAGGTGAGTGAGTACGCGTAAGGGCGGGGCACCCAGCATTGAGTGCAGCAAGGTGAGTCAGGGTGTTGACTGCACGGGCGTCGTGCTACAAGGAGGCTGGCGAGATGAAGAAAGCCGTTGCAGATTGTAGCAAGGTGAGTGAGTACGCGTAAGGGCGGGGCACCCAGCATTGAGTGCAGCAAGGTGAGTCAGGGTGTTGACTGCACGGGCGTCGTGCTACAAGGAGGCTGGCGAGATGAAGAAAGCCGTTGCAGATTGTAGCAAGGTGAGTGAGTACGCGTAAGGGTGGGGCACCCAGCATTGAGTGCAGCAAGGTGAGTCAGGGTGTTGACTGCACGGGCGTCGTGCTACAAGGAGGCTGGCGAGATGAAGAAAGCCGTTGCAGATTGTAGCAAGGTGAGTGAGTACGCGTAAGGGCGGGGCACCCAGCATTGAGTGCAGCAAGGTGAGTCAGGGTGTTGACTGCACGGGCGTCGTGCTACAAGGAGGCTGGCGAGATGAAGAAAGCCGTTGCTGACTGCAGCAAGGTAAGGAGTGGGGTGGGGTTGGAAGGTTCAGAAAGAACGGGAGCAAAGGAGAGAACTGCAGCAAGGTGAGTGTGGGATGGGGAATAGTTTGCGGACGCGATCAAGTGGCTGGTGTGGGCGGAGCAGCTGGCGGAGAGAGGGGGGGAGGCGGACGGGGGGGTGACTGGTGGCTGTGCTGCTGAGTGCGCAGGCATCGTGCTACAAGGAAGCTGGCGAGATGAAGAAAGCCGTTGCTGACTGCAGCAAGGTGAGTTTGGTAAGGGGGGCAAGTTGCGAGTGGACTTTCTAGGCACAGGGGGGAGGGATTGCTGGTGGCTGTGCTGACTGCGCGGCCATGTTACAAGGAGGCAGGGAAATTTTAGAAGGCCGTTGCTGACTGCAGCAAGGTGAGTCGGTGTGGGGGTTGAAGGGGGATAGGGGCATTATTGATTGAAGGACAGGACAGGGCGGTGCTGACTGCGAGGAAGCAGGGGAATGAAGAAAGACGTTGCTGGCTACAGCAAGGTGAGTAGTGGGATGGGAAGGGAAGGGGAGAAGGGAGAGAGGAAAGGAGAACTGAGAACGGAGAAGGATGGGCCAAGTTCTCAGTTCCCCCCAGTTGCAATGGGCCAAGTTCTCAGTTCCCCCCAGTTGCAATGGGCCAAGTTCTCAGTTCCCCCCAGTTGCAACGGTACGCTCCTTTTTCTCTGCGGCGCCTCTTATCGACTACTCCACCTCTTGCTGCCCTTCAAATCACTCAGGCGCTCGAGCCAGAGAACACAGCTGTGCTGATGCAGCGAGCGTGTCTGTACGAGGCATTGGAGACGTACAAGCTGGGGATGGCAGACCTGCGCCTGCTCTCCTTTCAAGATGACTTTTGAGTCGACTCAAAAGTCAACTTACTACAAGCTGGGGATGGCAGACCTGCGCCTGCTCTCCCTTCAAGACCCTTACCCACTAACCCCCCTCTTCACTCTCCTCTTCTCACTCGCTCCCTTCCTCAGGTGCTCGATCTCGAGCCTGAAAACACAGCAGTGCTGATGCAGCGAGCATGTCTGTACGAGGCGATGGAGAAGTACAAGCTGGGCGTGGCAGACCTGCGCCTGCTCTCCCGCCTCGACCCCTCCAACCGTGCCGTTGCCACGAGCCTTAACCGCCTCAATAAGGCACTTGCTGCTCTGGGGTGATAACAGCAGGAGGAGCAGGAGGAGGAGGAGGGGATTAAGAGGATATGGGGTGTGGTAGGGGAAGGATGAGGGGTGGCAGACCTGCGTTTTCTCTCCCGCCTTGATCCTTCCAACCGCGCTGTCGCCACGAGCCTTAACCGCCTCAACAAGGCGCTTGCTGCTCTGGGGTGATAACAGCAGGAGGAGCAGGAGGAGGAGGGGGAGGGGGAGGAGGACTGGGGGATAAGGGGTGGGGGGAGCAGCAGCAGCAGAAGCAGGAGCAGCAGCTGTGGGGGATAAGGGGTGGGGGGAGCAGCAGCAGCAGAAGCAGCAGCAGCAGCTGTGGGGGATAAGGGGTGGGGGGAGCAGCAGCAGCAGAAGCAGCAGCAGCAGAAGCAGCAGCAGCAGCTGTGGGGGATAAGGTTATCACTGGGTTTCTTGAAAGAGTAATATTGTTGGGAGCCCGGTTCAACTATTGGCAATAACCTACATTTATAGCAGAAAGGTTAACTCAACGGATTCTAGGAAATATTTCACAAGTTTTTAAGTCAAGGTTCAAAGGTTTGGGGTGCCACTCTGTCTAAAGGCATCCGAAAGCATTGAACCCTACTCAACCTTATGCCCAAACCAAACCAAGCCAAGCCTAACTACCCACACTTTTTATCAACACCTGTAGATACCCTGGCCCGCCTTCGAGAACTGCCCAGTAACTTCGAAGCACAAGTCTCCAGCAGTTTTTCAAATGGCGTCGGCGCGCGTTTCGTGCAACCAGAAAATCCGCAGCGGCAGCAAGGAACAAAAGCCTTGTTCGCCTGCCCACTCTGCTTCGCGTCTCCACACTTCGCCAGTGTCAGCCATAGACTCTCAAGAGAATGTCACGAACATTGTGATCCCTTCGTCCTCCCTTGTCCCTGATCCCTTCTCATCGCCTAAGCTTTGCCCTTCACAAGCCCCCACACGCGCGACGCGAGCCTGATGGAATCGGCATTCTTCGCGACAGCGACGCCAGCAGCAGCTCCCGCGACCGCGCCGGCAACCGCGCCAGCCACGCCCCCCGCGACAGCCGCGGCCGTAACGTCAGCTCCTTGCTTCTTCTTCCTCTTCTCCTCTCCTCCCTGCGTCTCCTGCTCCTGCCCCTTGCTGTTCCTAATCGCCGCGGCTTCGCGCTGGAATACTTTAAGGACGTCTTTAGTAGCAATCTGCAGAACGATGTGGATGCACCGCTTGAAAAGGTCGGGCGGCGCGACGGACGGCTGCACCACCTGATGCAGCACGAGCCGCGACGCCACGCGCGCGCCGTCGGACGGGGTCGTCGCGCTCGTCTTCGTCGTCTTTGCAGCGAGATCTGCGGCGGAATATGCGGCGACATCGCGCTCCGGGCTGCTGCAAGCGCTGCTGCTGTCCCAGTCGCTGGCCGGATGGAAGGTGTCGGATAGCGGGGAAGGCGGAGCGGAAGCGGTGTCGGAATCGGCGGAAGCGGAGGAAGTTGCGGAAATGGTGGAAGGGGCGGAGGTGGCGGAGGTGGCGGAGATGGCGGAGGCGGCGGATGCGGAAGTGGCGGAAGCGGGGACAACGAGCGGCTCGACCTGCCAGAAGCCCTCGAACTTGCGCATAAGGCCGGGACGCGCTAGTTCGAACGACATTTTGCGATTCGGGCGATCGTGCACCATGCGCATGTGCGCGTCGAATGTGCCTGTAAAGAAGGGCAGCTGGAAGGCGAAAACCATGTCCATATCCATCTCCTTCACCCCGTTATTGTCACTAATGACCCGCTCGTTCTTAACAGACTTAATGTTCTTAAAGACGCGGCTGTTGTGCGGGTCGCATACGATGGAGAAGACGGCGTCTGGGGGGAGGCCGACGGTCGCGACTCCGTCGAGTTGACAGAGGGCGTTAGATCCGACGGAAACAGTCATTGACGGCGTCTCGTCGGTCCAGTCGGGGTTTTCGAACCACGCGGCGAGCTCTGCCCGCATCGCGTCTTCCCAAGGCTCGGAGACCGAGGCGGAAACGGCAATGGTCTGCTGGGTAGCAGCGTCAGTAGCACCCATAATGGAGTGGTGTTGATATGGGTTTTTACGATGGTAGCCGAGTGATGCGGAATGGGCAGTGGAGCGTGGGCGGGGAGTGCGGTTGGCAATGGGGAAGGACGGCGGAGACTAGAGTATGGTGCTGCGGAAACGAGACAAGAGCTCAAGAGAGTGATGTGGAAGAAGGGATACTGGAGAGGAATGAAAGTGAAAACCTTCTCCCTTTGCTCGAATGGATGGGATGGGATGGGATGAAATGGAAGACCCCGCAAATCTGATGGAGAGGAAGAAGATGCGGAGGGATTTTGTACAGTTGCAGTTTGACAGACAGACTGACGTTCGGAGCCTGATTGGTCGAAGCGCAGATTTTCTCCTTCCGGAGTGGTTCATATTTTCGTCGGTGGATGGACGAGTGGTTCCGCACGCGATTTCGCTTGCCCGCGCCGCGACGTTTCGGAAGGTCCTCCATGGTGTAAAACTTTTGTGACTGAAGTGGAGGGAAGTGCTGTAGCAGGAGGTGGCGGCGGTGAGGAAGCTGGTTGAAGAAGCGGGCTGGGCTAGGTTTTCCAACCCAATCAAGCTGCTCAGCGTTGAGGAAGCTCAGCCTGAAATGGGAACCTAGCCCAGCCCAAAATGCTGCCCGGCTCGACAGGACTCTGATTCAATTGCCACGGGCAGCGTGGGTGTGGGTGTGGTAGCAGACGAATACTGGGTGATGTGTCAAACCTGTAGGTTCCTCAAACGCTGCCCAAAAGAGGACAGCGTCCAAGAAAGTATTTTACGAGGCAACGGGTAGTGAGGTCCGCGTCGTTGAGTATTGGTGGATGCGAGCAGCTGTAGAGCTGCCCGAAACATGTGAGCTACACCTGGAAGTCTGTTTGAAGGGCGCGTCTGTCGGCTTGCAGTTTGTAATATTGTTGAAAGTTGACGTTTCCGGGACACCCCTGACAAATCAGTCGGCTGCAGTTTGGCGAACTGTATGGTTGTGGAGTGGAGATGCTTCATTCAGTACGCGTGTGGGGAACGCGACACGCCCCTAGCTGGCACGAGAAGCTGCTGGGCAAATGTGGTGGTGACACAAGCCCGAAAAGATTTTTGGAGATTTCTGCACTGCCGTGTCGGTTCGAGGCTTGTTTTGCCGTCAGGATCTGACGGTAGGCTTCCGAACCGCATTCCTTACCAAACCAGGCTAGGCACGGCATGGCGGCACCCAACCGAAACGCAATATGCTCCACGTACACTGGGTTTGCAAAGAGGTACAAGTCCAACATTGTCATAATGTGACACTCGCATATATTTTACATCACCACCACAACAAGAGCATCTGGAACAAGCTTGGAACACGCCAAATCTCCCCCGTGCTGAAACCATTCGACCCGAAGCTCTCGCATTTTGTATGCATTGTTACTCGAGCTTTTCTCCCTCAGTTCAACAAGCTGGTGCGATTCAACCTCACTATTTTCACTTCCTATTTTCTCCCAATCCTCCTGCTCCACATCCAAAAAACTCCTCCCTTTCTGGCACAATCCCTGCCCGCCTTCCTTGCATATCCTCCCCATCACCACCTCCAAACCCCGGCCTACCAGAAAAAGGCAACTATCACCGCATGCAGCCATGCGCAGAGGTGGGCGTAGGAAGAGGGGCAAAGGAGGGCCAATGACCTGCTGCCACTTGTCGATTTCCGGGCAGTAGGAAAAAAGACTGGCAGCAAGGAAGCACAGGAGGAAGGGGGATTGGAATGCGGGAGAAGAGTGGGGGCGAGGGGAAAGGGGGAGAGGGTGTGGGAAGTAGTGAGATGAGGGTAACAAAGATGAGGTTGTGAGGACAGGACGAAATCCCAGTGAGAGGAGTAGAATGGTTTGCTGGGCTGATACGGAAGGCCATGTGATTCGTGAACGACCTCTCACCTGGGAGTCTGCACCTCCTACACGACAGTGTCGAGTGTGGCATGCACCACTGCACCCATGCCTGTCCATGCAGACAACCAAGACAAGACCACACCTCTCATGCCACCCACCAGCACCGCACACCACCGCATTGTTTCTCTAACACGCACCTGCGGTTCTTTCCCTCCTGCATGAGAGTGACAAGCGTCTCATGCACCACGGCACTCACGCCTGTCCATGCATTAACCCTACAATTTTACCTAGCGTACCCCCAGCAAGCATACCGCCATCACGCACCTGCGATTCTTCCCCTCCTGCACCAGAATTACAAGCGTGTCATGCACCACAGCACCCATGCCTGTCCATGTTCTTATCCAGGCACCTCGCATGCCCCCCACCACACCTCATGCCACCAAAACGCACCTGCGAGTCTTCCCCTCCTGCACGAGGGTCACAAGCGTGTCATGCACCGCAGCACTCACGCCTGTCCATCCCTCTGCCATGCCCTCTGGCATCGCCTCTCACACTGCTGCAATGCCACTCCGCCCCACGCCTTGTCCCACAACCGTCTCCCATTTCCCCAGCACGCACCTGCGAGTCTTCCCCTCCTGCACCAGAGTGACAAGCGTCTCATGCACCACTGCACATGCTCCTGTCCAGCCCTCTGCCATGCCTTCAGGCATTGGCTCCCACACTGCTGCAATTCCACTCCGCCCCACGCCTTGTCCCATGCCTTGCCCTTCCGCCCTGCCCTGCCCCTCTCCCATGCCCTCAGGTCCTAGGTTTTCTCCTGCCCTGCTTGCTTCCCCACAACCTCCCTCTCCCCCCTCTCCTCCTCGTCCCTCTCCTTCTCCCAGCCCTCGGCCAATCAAAGCACCCCCATGTCTTTTTTGACCTGTAAGCCCCTCCCTTTCCTTTTCCTGGACGAGCTTATAAAGGGGACAGGAGAACCCACGGGGTGAGAAGTGAAACGGCCACTGCCACCCCTCCGTCAAAAAGAGTGTCCCGCCAAAACACGCCGCCCCAAAGCTGGAAAACGCCAAAGGCAGCGGTGAGATGGACTGCCACGTGTCAGTCTCTGATTGGTAGACTTCAGCTGATTTGATCTCCTCAAGTTCTGCTGCATTGCCTCCCGCCACTATTATTTTTCCCTGGGCAGCCCAGGATCCAAAAAAGCTGCGGGGAGTGATGAGGTTGGCCAACTGGGTCCAGCGGGCAGTTTGAGGGTCGTACCTGAAATTGCGGATGGGGGAGGGGGCGGTTGGGTGGGGGGACAATTAACTTACAAGATTTGCAAAGTGGTACCAAAGCATGTCAGGGGCGCTATAGCTTACAGGAAATAATGCCAAAGGAAAATGGAAGAGGAAAAAATAGCAAAGACGGGGGAGGGAAGGGTGTCACAGCAAAATTCAAAGACCAAATAGCGCAATGGATAGCAATCTCTGTTAAAAAATCACAGAAGGCGTTACGCGTTGCACGCAAGCCAAGTCAACTAACATGGGTGAGGAATTTGTTTACTTGAAAGCCGGGCATAACCTCAGCTTTTTCTTAAGAGCCCAAACACACACAAAGTACACCTGATTGGTGCAAAACCTTTTCCTTTGCCCCTCACCTGAAAGTGTCAGCCAATGGATTTTTGCGGTCAGACCCCGTTCCTCCAATCATGTAGAGACAACTGTCAAGGACCACACACCCCACTCCCGAGGCTTCCCATTGGCTAGTGCCACGTGGGTGGGAGAGTTTCCGCCATCCAGCGCTCCCTGCGAATACGTGCCACTCGAAATGTTTTCTCGGCTGCCCGACTGCCCGGACGAACAGCCACGGCTCGAGGCGATTGGCTGCAGTTCGAAGGCGCAGGCAGCGCGGGCTGTCTAGAAACTCTTTCCATGCCCGGTTCACTTGCCTGGGGATAAGTGAAAAGGTGATGAGACAGGGAGGGACGAATGGGGGGATTGGAGCGAAAGGACAATGAGGCAGGAGGGAAAATGAAGGGATAAGCGCGGGCAGCGTGTGTGGCCTGGAAACAACTCCGTCAAAGATTACGTAGATTTGAGGGAAGAGGAGATGGGAAAGGGGGAGGAGGTGGGAGAGGAGACGAGCAAGAAAGCGCAGGTAATGCAGCAACGAACATCGTCCCCTTCCCTTCCGAAACGAAGGTGCAGCTCGGGTTCATACCAAACTTACGGAAACAGAACCCTTCTACAATCGCACCTAACCACCCATCCATGCACACATGATCGCCCTCTCATTCCAAACTCAAGGCTGATCGACCGAACGCACACACGCACACACACAGTCACACGCACGCATGCCGTACCTGCATTGCTGTAGGAACGCTCGCGGAAGCCGGATGAGGCACAATTCCGCCACGTCATCTGGTAGCCCTGGGAGGAGAGGCTGCCACGTGGCACTGCAGACGGAAAGCGCCTCGCCTGTGCGCTTACACAGGGGGGGAGCGCTCTGGTCATTTTGGAAGGCGCCGTGATTTTTGGGAGCGTAACTTCCGCGAGATTCGCGGGCACGAGGCGTAAGCGGATTAACGACTGTTGACGTGTCTTCTGACGGAGAGTGAGTTGACGGATCGGCTAATAACAGCGCGTGTGGCAATATGGCAGGATGTCGCGCCTCGAAGTTCTGCTCGGCGCGAGCAGTGGTAGCGTCAGACGGCTGCTGCGGCTGCTCCGTCTGCTGTAGCCGGCTAGCCGCCCATTTCCGCCAGTTGACGGCCGTCAACTCGCCGAAGACAGGTCCTGATTTACCGACGGGGCTGTGCGGAAGATTTAACGCGGAAATTTGTGAAGATTGCGGTGCGAGAGCGGGGCCGTTGGGGTTATCGACTACAGCGGATGACATTGGCGCCGGGTTTCAGCGCGCCGCGCCTTGACGATGCTCGCGCGCCGAATTGAAGCACAGGAACGGCGGCGGAGAGATAAACCACAAATGGGCTGATTAATCGTGAAGAGATGCCGAAATGAGGAATAGAAGAAAGTGAGCTACTAATGAGCAGTGTTTTTATTGATTTGAGCTTGAGCTGATGTTCGAGATGGATGGGGAGAGAGGGAATTTCGGAAACTGGAGGTGCGAGCACAGGGGCGAAATAGAACAGGATGATAGAGATTTCTTTGCTGCCCGCAGGTGGTTGCGGCGATCACAAATGTCCAATAACGACTGGCGAGAATGGTCTGGTTACCAGTCGTTCTTGATTCAGAGTACGAGTGGCTGATGCTCCAATCATATGTCATTCACGAAGTTTGATTTCAACTTTGGTCCAATAGGAAAACTTGCAGTTATACATCCAGTTCAAATGCATCTTCGCAACCAATCACAACCAGAGACGAAATGCCTCGCAAGGGGATGATAGATGTCGTGCGACTCGCCCCGAGATTGGCGAAATAGTCGCCGATGGTGACATGCACAGGCTCAGACAGGTTCTTCTGGGTCGTGCATGCGACAGACTGACTAGTTTGTGTACAGAAAATTAATAGTTCCAAGTATTACTGGGGGGAGTGTAGAAGCTATGAATATCTGAACCTTTGAGAGTGTAGAAGCTCTGAATCATTCTCATCACATGGACTTTTAGCGTGGATACGAAGAACCTGTCAGGCACATGCCACATGGATCCAGCACACATCCCGCCACGCGGCATCCAGTCACCTTGGTGATCGTGTAGACGGATCCATCCGCGCTGACAGAATCTGGACAGCCACACACCGTCACCACGCCTCGTCATCCATTCACATCCAAAATCCATCAACCGTGCAAAGGAAAGAGAAAACCAGTATCTCGAATTAATGACCGTTCGATTCAGGAAAGGCGCTTCCGTCGGAGAATACTCACCCTTCGTTCATATGTCCCATCCATTCTAGAATGAGTTGGAGATTGCGTGTTCAAGCCGAAGGACTAGCAAGTCTCAAAATAAGTGCCACATAACGTTTCACCTGAACCGGCAAGGTACAGCTATCGCTATTCGCAGCCTGTGTAAAAACGAATCATTTGGGACTCGTTTGTTTCGCGAGACGTCTTCCTGAACGCGTCCTCGTGATCTGGTTATAGAATCCGCTGGCATGACAAGAGTAGGCAAAATTAGGACCAGAAGCTGAAGCAAAGCACCAGAAGCCTTAGCGACGTTTACGGAGAATAGCAGCCCGCTACCGCACGCCAGCTTCGCTCCATTCTGCTGCATTGTGCGAGCCGCGTGCCCACATTGCAAGACAGACTACCGTGCGGCAGCTTTGCTCTATTTTCCTACTGAACCAAACTCAGCAGTCCTCAGGAGCCTTCTCGCACGCACGCCGGGAAAGTATCGCATCCCCTTACATCCGAATCCGTTTAAAACGGAAACCTGCGCAACGTCATCTCATTAACCCACCCTCAGGCCGCATAAGAATCAGCCATGGCTTGCGCAATCCCCCTCACGCACTCCCTCGCATCGGCTCCCCGCGCCGTCGCCGCCGCCGCGTCTCCCGCTACCGCCAAGCCGAAATCCGCGTCGCCGCTTCTAGCGGGTAGCGTGGGGCTCCGCTCTTCCCGCGGCCCGATCTCGTCGGCGGCTGTCAGCGTGTCTAGCGCCTCGCCGTTGACACTAACGGGCGGCGCGTCCGGGCCGCCGCGTGTGACTATGGCGAGCGCGTACATCTGCCGGGACTGCGGGTGAGCGGTTGCGTTTCATTGTTGCCGTGCCGCCTCGGGCTGGCTTAACATTTTCTATTGAAAAAACGTGGAATCTGCATGCGCGTGTCCGTGTTTCCCACTGCTTTCACGTGCGTCCCTGCCTCCCTCCCCGCGCGCGGGTCAACCTCCCCCCAACACCCACACCCCCCCCCCATTCCTCCTTCCCCTCCCCCCCCCCCCCCCCCCCCCCCCTCCACGCTCTTCCCTCTCTCACCCCCCCTGCGCGCGCGTCTCCCTCGCTCCGCGCAGGTACATCTACAACTCGCGGTCGCCCTTCGAGAAGCTTCCAGACACCTACAAGTGCCCAGGTGAGGCGCCGCGATGAATTAGACTCCTATTAGTTCTCAGATGCGACCTTTGTGGCGCCTCGGCGGAATTAGACGCCTACAAATTCCCAGGAGCGTTCACCGGTTCATTTCGAGTCAACTAGTTAAAATTGCGTACACGGTAATGACCACAAGATTTCAGTTTTAAGTTGCGTGCTGAGCACCTTACGTGCTGTAGAAGCTATTTATACGCGATACTGCTAACCATCGAAACATTCAATGTGCTCCGTCGCCCCAGCGTTTCTGTCGACGTAAGATGCTCTTCCATTCAGATACCAGAATTGGCCTTGTTCAACATTGGCCTTGTTCAGCGTTTCTGTCGACGTAAGGTACCTTTATTTATCTCCTTCTCGCCTCTGCATCGGCCTTGTTCACGTGCCCCAGTAGTAACCAGCACACATTTCCAGTATCTTTTCTGTTGAAGGTGTTATATCTCAAAAAAGCATCTAGCAGCTCTCACCCCTCTCCCACCCAGCTCCATCATCCCCCCCCTCCAGTATCTTTTCTGCATCCGCTAACAGCTCTTACCCCTCTCCCACCCCTCCCCACCCCCGCACCATTCCTCTCCCCCCGTCCTTTTTTCCCCACCTCCCGTCCCCGTCCCCGCCCCTCTCCCTGTTCCCCCTCCGCCAGTGTGCTCCGCTCCCAAGCGGCGCTTCAAGCCGTACACTGCGCCCGTGTCGCGCAACGCCAACGACCTGGCGGTGCGGAAGGCGCGCAAGGCGGAGCTGCAGGGCGGCGGAGGCGGGTGAGTTGACGGGGGGGTGGGGGCGGGGGGAGCCGGGGAGAGAATGGGGGATGCGCGGAAGGGACGGGGAAAGGGACAGGTGCGTGAAAGGGGGGGACTGGGCGCCAACGCCAACGACCTGGCGCAGCTTCCGGGGGTGTGGAAGGAGCGCCAGGCGCAGCTGCAGCGGGTTGAGGGGAGAGGGGGGGGGAGGGGGGGGTGTGAGTTAAGGGGAGGGGAGAGGAGGAGGGGATGGGGGAATGGGGAGGTGCGGGGGTGGGACTGGGAGGGAGTGACGGAAAGGGACGTGAGCTGAAAAGGGGATGCAGGAAAGCGAGTGAGAGAGGGGTGGAAGGGGTGCGAGGGAAGTGACGGGGGAGCGAGGAAGGAACGGGACGCGTGGATTGATGGGGGAGTGTGGGGGAAAGAGCCATCAAACAAGCCTCTCCGAAGGTGCAGAGGAAGAGCGGAGGTGGCGGGTATACAGAGGGGAAAGGCCTTCCAATCATCCAATCAGTCCTACCTACCATTCCTGCCCGCCATTTCCCCTCTCGGCTCTTCAATGCAGCACCCACTCCATCCCCGCTCCTCTCTCTCTCTCTCCCAAACCCCACTGCCCAACCTCTCTCCCTTCTTCCCCCCACTTCCCTTCTGTAATTTCCTCCTCGTTTCTCTGCCCAACCTCCCGTTCCCTTCTCTCCGCCCCTCCTCTTCTTCTTCCTATTCCCCTTCTCCTCCCCCTCTACTCCACACTCCGGCTCTTATTCTGATTCCTGCCTCTCCTCTCCTTGCTTGAAGAAGTGTTTTGAGACGTCTCAAAACACTTCTTCAAACACTCCACCCTGCTCTTACCCTGATTCCTGCCTCTCCTCTCCTTGCTTCTCAACTCCCCGCTTCCTTTCCTGTTTCACTGTTTCTCTCCCCCCTGCCCCTCACCCCCTCCCCCTCAACCTTCCCCCCCACTTTCCTCCCCGCCCCTCTTCCCATGCCCCTCGTCCCCCGTCCCTCCCCCCTCATTGCTTCCTCCCTCTGCTTGGTGCCGCCATCCCTGCTCCTCTCATTTGAGCAGCATGCTCTCTCCTGATCTCACCAATACGCTCTGAATGATCGTTGCGTTGATTCAAACCTTCCATCCTGTGCTGTCTCATCAGTGCCCTTCTCTCCTTTTGCCTCCTTCCTACCTGACCCCTTGTTCCTGGTTACTGCTGGTAAAGTTTAATCCCATTCAGGTGTCCTCATTCGTCCTTATCTCCACACACACACACAATGCCCTGTTCTCCCTCCCCTCACCCCCATGTGCCCTCCCACCCCCACCTCCCCTCCACCTGTCCTCCCCCCCCAATCCCCATCCTCCCCATGCTCCCCCTGTCCCTGTCCTCTCCCTGTCAGAGACTCGCTCCCTGTGCTGGTGGCAGGCATTCTAGCAGCGCTCGTTGGTGTAGCTGTTTACCTGAACTCCGCTTATTAAGCAGCGTTGAAATCCGGCCAGCACAGACGCTGCTACACTTCGGTTCATGGTGAACACACCGTTACAGCGGATTCAATTTTGGCGATGCTTGTTATAAGGTTGCATATATTGCGTAATCAATTGTGCTTTCAGAGGTTGGGCTGCAGCAACAGACTGGTACCAGACCAGTTCAGTAAACAATGCTGTTACAACAGCAGCGAGGCACGGCAAGAGAAGGAAAAAGACAGTACAGTACAACCACCTTTTCCCTTCCCACTTACCGTACCGTATGTGCCGTTCTATTGACTGAACACCACGGCCCAAATTGTGGAGCGCGCTGGTCAAGCTTTTAAAATTTGACGAAGTAGTGTATGCAAGCTTTGAGAAGTGCGCCTGCAATTTGGGACTTTTGGGGACTGACCCAACCCCCAAGGGCGAAATACGAGGGCAGGCTGGGTTTGGCGAAAAAAGCGGGGGAAAAAAAAATCTGAAACACTCGCCAAAACCCAGACCAGAAAAACCCCCTCGCGTCAACCTTTTTAAAACTTGTGCAATTTGGGCCAACTGCTTTAATTGCGACATACCGGAATAGCTCAACGAAACGGGGTCGACGCTCGGTCGACGGCCGTCGACCACCGTCGACCTGACCGGCTGGCAGAAAAAAACTAAAACCCTATCGGATGGCATGCCATCTGAGGGAGGCATCAACCCTAAACACATGCCTCCCCGTGTTTAGGGTTGATGCCTCCCTGACCGGATGCATGCCCGATAGGGTTTTATTTTTTTTGCCCGCCGGCAGCGAGCTCAACCGGGCGGACTCGCTTGTCCGTTGAGCTACATCAAGAGGAGATTCTCAAGCATTTTACAAAGCCTCTCATCGCATGTAGGGCTGAGCTGGATGGATCATTATCTGAGGAGAAGGGCATGGGCCATCAATTGCGCAAAATAACACACATCAGAATAGAGTAGTGGAATGAAATGAACTAGGAGATGGGCGATACAAATAGGAAACCATATTCATGCAGAAGAGCTGTACTCACTAAAGAGCAACTCCGTCTAGCTTGACTAACACACATATAATCTGACACATTCTCAAGCATTTTATTCAGAATCTGAGAAGAGCCTCAGGTCAGGCCCTCAATGGTCAAGCCTAGCATGTAGTGTAAAGCTGTGGATCGCTTGTGGCTCATATGTTCCATTGAGAATTAGGGAGCGATTCCATCCATACGGTACCGGTAGGTAGACCCTCAATGGTGCATCGACATACCGTAGCACATTCTGAAGCATTGTATGTATTGCTAGGCCTCGCATGTAGGGCTAAGCTGGATCGCTTCTGGTTCATATGTTCCATTCAGAATCTGGGAAGCGGGGCCGTAGGCTCTCACCACCGCCGCACTATTGGTCTGCAGACGAAGGTGCAACGACATAGGAGGACAAGAGAAGTCGAGGTTGGGAAGAAAGAAACCAACATGCAAGTGTGAAACCGAAATTGGAACTGGAGAAAGAAACCACCATGGAAGGAGAGAAGAGAGATAAGGGAAAGAGAAGAATAAGCAAGGATTAAGGCAGCACTCAGGAGCACTCAGGCCGGGATAACAGAATACCGAGTTAACAGTGGGGATCCAGTTGGCTTCGTGCGATTGGCCGGGCGAAGTGGGTTGAATGTAGATGGTGAGAGTGCCGTCTGGGTTGTACTGTGGTGAGGGTGGCAAACAGGGAAAATGCAAGAGTACCAGGTTACGAGTTGTCACCACAGTGATTGGGGGGACGAAGTGGGTTGAATGTAGATGGTGAGAGTGCCGTCAGGGCTGTACTGTGGTGATTGCACAGGGGCAGCACAGGTGTGGTTGCTCAGTGGTGTAGTAGGGAAATGAGGCGAGGGACTGAATTGGTTGAGTCAGACTCAAAGCAGAATGTAGATGGTCAGAGTGCGGTCAGGGTGGGTTTTTATTGCAGCGAGGGGGGCAGCACATGTTTGGTTGGTTGCATGGTGTTTGGACGGGAGACCATTGAGAATCGACAGGAATTGACAAGGAGAGGTGAGGCAGCAGCTTGATCGGGGGTGGCAGGCAGGTTGTGATCTCGAGTCGAGAGAAAAAAACGAAAGAAAGATGACAACGAGAAGAAAACAAAGAGAAGAAAACAAAGGAACATGTGAAGTAGTGCCACGTGTAGAGAGGGTGTTTTTGAGACGTCTCAAAAAGTGCCTGGGTTAGGCGTGGAAAGCGGAATGGGAGGGGCGGAGGAGGGTGGGGGAGGTCAAGTGAGGGACCTGAGGGAATCAAGAGGTGGATAGAGAAGCAAGAGAGACTTACAATCAGCCCTGGCGTGCGATCCCCCACACCGAACTTGCTGACTCCCTCCAAAAGGTTAAGGTTTGAAGCGTTGTAGATGGTGAGTGACAGACCAGAAGGAGTCGACGGGGAGAGGGGTGAGGCGCAAGCAAGAAAGACTCACCAAAAGGCCTGGAGTGCGGTCGCCCACGCCGAACTTGCTGACTCCTTCCAAAAGGTTGAGGTTGGATGCGTTGTAAATGGTGACAGACCAGAAGGAGTCGACGGGAGGAGGGGTGAGGCGCAGGCGGAAGCAGCGGGAGCCTTGGAGACGCGTGAAGGGGCGACGTGGGGTGGGCATGGAGGAGGGGAAGATGGAGGACGGCTGAGGCTGCAAGGAGGTTGTGTTGCTTGCAGCTGGGGAGGAGAGACTGGAAGGCTGGGGAGAAGGCTGGGGAGAAGGCTGGGGAGAAGGCTGGGTTCCAGTGGTGTTGCTGCTAGCTGTGGTGTCGCTGCTATCTGTGGTGGTGGTGTTTTCAGCGCGGATGTTGCTCACTGTGCTGCTGCTGCTGCGGGCTGTGGTACTGCTGGGGGGGTCGATGGGGAGGATGGGAGGAACGGTGGTGTTGCTTGCTGCTGTGACGTTGATGCCGGGAGGAGTGGTGGCGTTGGGAGAGGCTGTAGCGTTAGCAGAAAAGATAGGTGGGATGGTGGGAGGAGTGGTGGTGTTGGATGCATTTGTAGCAGCAGGTTGTCGGGCTGCCATAGATGGGGTAACCTGGAGAGAGAGGGATGTGGGGGGATGGGCAGGGAGGCAAGATCAATAAAGGGTGCTTTGGTGATAGAAAGGGCAGGTGGTGTGGTGGGAGGAGTGGTGGTGTTGGATGCATTTGTGGCAGCAGGCTGTAGGACTGCAACAGATGGGGTGACCTGGAGGGAGGGGGACGACGAAGGATGGTCAGAAAGCAAGATGAAAAGAGACCCATTGACAGGATGGAGACAAAGGTTTCTTGAGGTGCCTCATTGTTGGAAAAAGGTACCTGTGAGCGATCATTGAGAATTCTCAGAAAGGTTTTTTGAGGTGCCTCAGTATTGGCACGGGTAGAACTGCCACAGATGAGGCAGCCTGGAAGGGAGGGCAGCTCACCTCAGCAAGGAAGGTGAGGTGAGGACGTAAACCACTTCTGTAGAGAAAACAACCTGCAATGCCTTTCTCAATTGCAGTTGAGAGTGGGCCAATGACAAGCAGAGAGGGCTAGGGTGGTGGTAACTCACTGCAGCAAGGAAAGTGAGGAAGTAAACCACTTCTGTGGGCGGCAGCCCGCCGATGCCGCCCGGGGCAGTAAGGGTGGCTCGGTAGAGGAATTCCGTTTCAAAGTCGTGGCCCAGGAGCGTGCGCGATGACGCCCAGAAGTTCTCACTGGGAGGATGGGAGTGACATGAATGGGCAAAATAAGAGGGATGGGTCGAGAAGAGAGAGCTTAGAGGATGGGCATAATGTGATCGGAAGGATGGTGAGGGTGAGTGAGGGTGGCTCGGTAGAGGAATTCCGTTTCAAATTCGTGGCCCAGGAGCGTGCGCGATTACGCCGAGAAGTTGTAACTGGGGGAAGTGGACGGGGGTGGTTGGATAGGAGAACACAAAGAGCGGAAGGGGATGAGAAGGTTATGGGAAGGATGGTGAGGGGGTTGCTCGGTAGAGGAACTAAGTGTTGAAGTCATGGCACAGGAGGGTGCGAGACGTTCTGACTGAGAAGATGTGGCAGGTTCTCCTGGGCACTCACGATTGGATGAGAGAGTCGCTGATCTGAACGACAATATTCGATACTGTGACGAGTGTGTCTGTTGTCTGCCTTGCCGCCTCAGCGCTGCTGCCTGCTGCTGCTTAAACCGTGCTGCTGCTGTAGGGGTTGAACCCGTATAGGTGTAACAGAGGGAATTCCCGGGCACTCACGATTGGATGAGCGAATAGTTTATCTGAATGACAACGTTGGCTGCTGTGATGAGTGTGTCTGCCTTGCTGCCTCCAGTGCTGATACATGCTGCTGTGTCACGCTGTAGGGGTAGAACCCATAGTGCTGTAACATCCGGGCACTCACCTTTGAATGAGTGAGTCGTTGATCTGAACGACAACATTCGCTGCTGTGATAAGTGTGTCGGTTGTCTGCCTCGCTGCCTCCAGTGCTGCTGCCTGCTGCTGTGTCACACTGTAGGGGTCGAAGCCGTGCTGCTGGGTGACATTGATGGACGCGAGCTGATAGGAGGGAAGGAGGAATAGAGATTAGGGAGCGCAAGGTAGTGATGGAAGGGGGAAGATAGAAGTAAGAAAGCTTATGACGCTGTAGGGGTCGAAGCCGTGCTGCTGGGTGACGTTGATGGACGCGAGCTGATAGGAGGGAAGGAGGAATAGAGATTAGGGAGCGCAAGGTAGTGATGGAAGGGGGAAGATAGAAGTAAGAAAGCTTATGACGCTGTAGGGGTCGAAGCCGTGCTGCTGGGTGACGTTGATGGACGCGAGCTGATAGGAGGGAAGGAGGAATAGAGATTAGGGAGCGCAAGGTAGTGATGGAAGGGGGAAGATAGAAGTAAGAAAGCTTATGACGCTGTAGGGGTCGAAGCCGTGCTGCTGGGTGACGTTGATGGACGCGAGCTGATAGGAGGGAAGGAGGAATAGAGATTAGGGAGCGCAAGGTAGTGATGGAAGGGGGAAGATAGAAGTAAGAAAGCTTATGACGCTGTAGGGGTCGAAGCCGTGCTACTGGGTGACGTTGATGGACGCGAGCTGATAGGAGGGAAGGAGGAATAGAGATTAGGGAGCGCAAGGTAGTGATGGAAGGGGGAAGATAGAAGTAAGAAAGCTTATGACGCTGTAGGGGTCGAAGCCGTGCTGCTGGGTAACGTTGATGGACGCGAGCTGATAGGAGGGAAGGAGGAATAGAGATTAGGGAGCGCAAGGTAGTGATGGAAGGGGGAAGATAGAAGTAAGAAAGCTTATGACGCTGTAGGGGTCGAAGCCGTGCTGCTGGGTGACGTTGATGGACGCGAGCTGATAGGAGGGAAGGAGGAATAGAGATTAGGGAGCGCAAGGTAGTGATGGAAGGGGGAAGATAGAAGTAAGAAAGCTTATGACGCTGTAGGGGTCGAAGCCGTGCTGCTGGGTGACGTTGATGGACGCGAGCTGATAGGAGGGAAGGAGGAATAGAGATTAGGGAGCGCAAGGTAGTGATGGAAGGGGGAAGATAGAAGTAAGAAAGCTTATGACGCTGTAGGGGTCGAAGCCGTGCTGCTGGGTGACGTTGATGGACGCGAGCTGATAGGAGGGAAGGAGGAATAGAGATTAGGGAGCGCAAGGTAGTGATGGAAGGGGGAAGATAGAAGTAAGAAAGCTTATGACGCTGTAGGGGTCGAAGCCGTGCTGCTGGGTGACATTGATGGACGCGAGCTGATAGGAGGGAAGGAGGAATAGAGATTAGGGAGCGCAAGGTAGTGATGGAAGGGGGAAGATAGAAGTAAGAAAGCTTATGACGCTGTAGGGGTCGAAGCCGTGCTGCTGGGTGACGTTGATGGACGCGAGCTGATAGGAGGGAAGGAGGAATAGAGATTAGGGAGCGCAAGGTAGTGATGGAAGGGGGAAGATAGAAGTAAGAAAGCTTATGACGCTGTAGGGGTCGAAGCCGTGCTGCTGGGTGACGTTGATGGGCGCGAGCTGATAGGAGGGAAGGAGGAATAGAGATTAGGGAGCGCAAGGTAGTGATGGAAGGGGGAAGATAGAAGTAAGAAAGCTTATGACGCTGTAGGGGTCGAAGCCGTGCTGCTGGGTGACGTTGATGGGCGCGAGCTGATAGGAGGGAAGGAGGAATAGAGATTAGGGAGCGCAAGGTAGTGATGGAAGGGGGAAGATAGAAGTAAGAAAGCTTATGACGCTGTAGGGGTCGAAGCCGTGCTGCTGGGTGACGTTGATGGACGCGAGCTGATAGGAGGGAAGGAGGAATAGAGATTAGGGAGCGCAAGGTAGTGATGGAAGGGGGAAGATAGAAGTAAGAAAGCTTATGACGCTGTAGGGGTCGAAGCCGTGCTGCTGGGTAACGTTGATGGACGCGAGCTGATAGGAGGGAAGGAGGAATAGAGATCAGGGAGCGCAAGGTAGTGATGGAAGGGGGAAGATAGAAGTAAGAAAGCTTATGACGCTGTAGGGGTCGAAGCCGTGCTGCTGGGTGACGTTGATGGACGCGAGCTGATAGGAGGGAAGGAGGAATAGAGATTAGGGAGCGCAAGGTAGTGATGGAAGGGGGAAGATAGAAGTAAGAAAGCTTATGACGCTGTAGGGATCGAAGCCGTGCTGCTGGGTGACGTTGATGGACGCGAGCTGATAGGAGGGAAGGAGGAATAGAGATTAGGGAGCGCAAGGTAGTGATGGAAGGGGGAAGATAGAAGTAAGAAAGCTTATGACGCTGTAGGGGTCGAAGCCGTGCTGCTGGGTGACGTTGATGGACGCGAGCTGATAGGAGGGAAGGAGGAATAGAGATTAGGGAGCGCAAGGTAGTGATGGAAGGGGGAAGATAGAAGTAAGAAAGCTTATGACGCTGTAGGGGTCGAAGCCGTGCTGCTGGGTGACGTTGATGGACGCGAGCTGATAGGAGGGAAGGAGGAATAGAGATTAGGGAGCGCAAGGTAGTGATGGAAGGGGGAAGATAGAAGTAAGAAAGCTTATGACGCTGTAGGGGTCGAAGCCGTGCTGCTGGGTGACATTGATGGACGCGAGCTGATAGGAGGGAAGGAGGAATAGAGATTAGGGAGCGCAAGGTAGTGATGGAAGGGGGAAGATAGAAGTAAGAAAGCTTATGACGCTGTACGGGTCGAAGCCGTGCTGCTGGGTGACGTTGATGGACGCGAGCTGATAGGAGGGAAGGAGGAATAGAGATTAGGGAGCGCAAGGTAGTGATGGAAGGGGGAAGATAGAAGTAAGAAAGCTTATGACGCTGTAGGGGTCGAAGCCGTGCTGCTGGGTAACGTTGATGGACGCGAGCTGATAGGAGGGAAGGAGGAATAGAGATTAGGGAGCGCAAGGTAGTGATGGAAGGGGGAAGATAGAAGTAAGAAAGCTTATGACGCTGTAGGGGTCGAAGCCGTGCTGCTGGGTAACGTTGATGGACGCGAGCTGATAGGAGGGAAGGAGGAATAGAGATTAGGGAGCGCAAGGTAGTGATGGAAGGGGGAAGATAGAAGTAAGAAAGCTTATGACGCTGTAGGGGTCGAAGCCGTGCTGCTGGGTGACGTTGATGGACGCGAGCTGATAGGAGGGAAGGAGGAATAGAGATTAGGGAGCGCAAGGTAGTGATGGAAGGGGGAAGATAGAAGTAAGAAAGCTTATGACGCTGTAGGGGTCAAAGCCGTGCTGCTGGGTGACATTGATGGACGCGAGCTGATAGGAGGGAAGGAGGAATAGAGATTAGGGAGCGCAAGGTAGTGATGGAAGGGGGAAGATAGAAGTAAGAAAGCTTATGACGCTGTAGGGGTCGAAGCCGTGCTGCTGGGTAACGTTGATGGACGCGAGCTGATAGGAGGGAAGGAGGAATAGAGATTAGGGAGCGCAAGGTAGTGATGGAAGGGGGAAGATAGAAGTAAGAAAGCTTATGACGCTGTAGGGGTCGAAGCCGTGCTGCTGGGTGACGTTGATGGACGCGAGCTGATAGGAGGGAAGGAGGAATAGAGATTAGGGAGCGCAAGGTAGTGATGGAAGGGGGAAGATAGAAGTAAGAAAGCTTATGACGCTGTAGGGGTCGAAGCCGTGCTGCTGGGTGACGTTGATGGACGCGAGTTGATAGGAGGGAAGGAGGAATAGAGATTAGGGAGCGCAAGGTAGTGATGGAAGGGGGAAGATAGAAGTAAGAAAGCTTATGACGCTGTAGGGGTCGAAGCCGTGCTGCTGGGTGACGTTGATGGACGCGAGCTGATAGGAGGGAAGGAGGAATAGAGATTAGGGAGCGCAAGGTAGTGATGGAAGGGGGAAGATAGAAGTAAGAAAGCTTATGACGCTGTAGGGGTCGAAGCCGTGCTGCTGGGTGACGTTGATGGACGCGAGCTGATAGGAGGGAAGGAGGAATAGAGATTAGGGAGCGCAAGGTAGTGATGGAAGGGGGAAGATAGAAGTAAGAAAGCTTATGACGCTGTAGGGGTCGAAGCCGTGCTGCTGGGTGACGTTGATGGACGCGAGCTGATAGGAGGGAAGGAGGAATAGAGATTAGGGAGCGCAAGGTAGTGATGGAAGGGGGAAGATAGAAGTAAGAAAGCTTATGACGCTGTAGGGGTCGAAGCCGTGCTGCTGGGTGACGTTGATGGGCGCGAGCTGATAGGAGGGAAGGAGGAATAGAGATTAGGGAGCGCAAGGTAGTGATGGAAGGGGGAAGATAGAAGTAAGAAAGCTTATGACGCTGTAGGGGTCAAAGCCGTGCTGCTGGGTGACGTTGATGGACGCGAGCTGATAGGAGGGAAGGAGGAATAGAGATTAGGGAGCGCAAGGTAGTGATGGAAGGGGGAAGATAGAAGTAAGAAAGCTTATGACGCTGTAGGGGTCGAAGCCGTGCTGCTGGGTGACGTTGATGGGCGCGAGCTGATAGGAGGGAAGGAGGAATAGAGATTAGGGAGCGCAAGGTAGTGATGGAAGGGGGAAGATAGAAGTAAGAAAGCTTATGACGCTGTAGGGGTCGAAGCCGTGCTGCTGGGTGACGTTGATGGGCGCGAGCTGATAGGAGGGAAGGAGGAATAGAGATTAGGGAGCGCAAGGTAGTGATGGAAGGGGGAAGATAGAAGTAAGAAAGCTTATGACGCTGTAGGGGTCGAAGCCGTGCTGCTGGGTGACGTTGATGGGCGCGAGCTGATAGGAGGGAAGGAGGAATAGAGATTAGGGAGCGCAAGGTAGTGATGGAAGGGGGAAGATAGAAGTAAGAAAGCTTATGACGCTGTAGGGGTCGAAGCCGTGCTGCTGGGTAACGTTGATGGACGCGAGCTGATAGGAGGGAAGGAGGAATAGAGATTAGGGAGCGCAAGGTAGTGATGGAAGGGGGAAGATAGAAGTAAGAAAGCTTATGACGCTGTAGGGGTCGAAGCCGTGCTGCTGGGTGACGTTGATGGACGCG